ATAATAAAAAGAACTTTTATAAAAATAGGGATTCCTCCCCTTTGTTTGTTGTTTTTTGAGAGGAAATTGTGTTGAAATGCATTAATTATAGTTTTATAGTGCAAATATGAAAACATTATAAAACTTATATTCAGGAGGGGGGTGGACTTAATTTTTTGTAAAAGTTGTTTTTTAAGTGGAAAATGTGTTCAAATGCATGAATAAGTCTTTTGGTGAAAATATGGAAATATGATAACATTCATTTTCAGGGGATTGGAATCCCTACTTTCGTAAAAGTTGTTTTTAAGTGGAAAATGTGTTTAAATGCTTGAATTATAACATTTTGATAAAATAATGGAAATAAGACTAAATTCATTTTCAAGAGGGGAGGAATCCCTATTTTTATATTTCTTCTAAGACTAAATTCATTTTAAAGAGGGGAGGATTCCCTATTTTTATAGTTCTTTTTATTGTGAAAAATGTGTTCAAATGCATGAAGAATTATAGTCTTTTGATTAAAATATGGACATATGATAAAATTCATTTTCAGAATGGTTGGAATCCCTGTTTTTGTAAAAGTTTTTTTTAAGTGGAAAATGTGTTGAAATGCTTGAATTATAACATTTTGATAAAATAATGGAAATAAGACTAAATTCATTTTCAAGAGGGGAGGAATCCCTATTTTTATAAAAGTTCTTTTTATTGTGAAAAATGTGTTCAAATGCATGAAGAATTATAGTCTTTTGATTAAAATATGGAAATATGATAAAATTCATTTTCAGAATGGTTGGAATCCCTGTTTTTGTAAAAGTTGTTTTTTAAATGGAAATGTGTTGAAATGCATTAATAATAGTTTTATAGTGAAAAAAAGAAATTATATAAAACTTATAATCACAAGGGGGGTGGACTTAATTTTTTGTAAAAGTTCTTTTTGAGAGGAAAATGTGTTGAAATGCATTAATTATAGTCTTTTGGTGAAAATATAGAAATATGATAAAATTTAAATTTCAGGGGATAGTTGACTCAATTTTTTGTAAAACTTCTTTTGGATGTGGAAAATATGTTCAAATGCATGAATTATGGTCTTTAGATAAAATAATGTAAATTTATGATAAAATTAATTTTCAGGATGAGGTGGAATCCCTACTTATGTAAAAGTTGTTTTAAAGTGGAAAATGTGTTCAAATGCTTGAATTATAATATTTTGATGATGGAAATAATGGAAATAATGGAAATATGATAAAATTAATTTTAAGGATGAGGTGGAATCCCTATTTTTGTAAAAGTTGTTTTTAAGTAGAAAATGTGTTGAAATGCATTAATTATAGTTTTATAGTGAAAATATGAAAATATTATAAAACTTATATTCAGGATCGGGGTGGACTTAATTTTGGCTTATATGACGTCAAAAGAAAACACACTATAGCTACGGTTGAATGAAAACAGCCCCAAACATCATTAAATATTTGTTAAAATTGCGTATATATTATTACGAAACAGCGATTTTGTGCACGTTATGATGACAAATTTTCATATTGCATTGAAAAGCGTATTTCGAAAAACATTTATCAAACGCTGACACTTGCTGGCATGGTGACCATGTTTAATTTAAATACATATGCATATTTTAAGCTGACAGTCGTTTCAAAACTACCGATGGATGTTATTTATTCATCACGGCATAAATGCTTTTCAAACAACTTTATTATTCTAAAATCATTACTTAATAGAAATTTGTACAACATTATTCCAAAATAGGTGGCAGGAGCCTACTTTGAAATACTTTACCACAAAATTCGTTTTCTAAGTCAGAGAGCGAGGGAACTCTCTGACTTAGTAAGAATACGCCGAATTCAACAGAGTATATATGCTCTCAAAATCCAAGATTTCTTAAAATCTAAAAGATAGCCAAAGAACAAATTAGCGATACAATAAAACAAACACATAAACCTGAAAAAAGACTGAAGTCACTAAGCTACAAGTCAGTGAAACAAATAAAAAAATTTTTATACCTCATCTTGTTCTCCATCAGCATGCTTCCCGTCTCTCCGTCAGCATCCTCTTCGTCGCTCCATCAGCATCCTCTTCGTCGCTCCATCAGCATCCTCTTCGTTGCTACATCAGCATCCACCTCGTAACGCCATCAGCATCCTCCTCGTAGCACCATCAGCATCCTCGTAGCACCATCAGCATCCTCCTCGTAGCACCATCAGCATCCTCCTCGTAGCGCCATCAGCATCCTCCTCGTAGCGCCATCAGCATCCTCCTCGTAGGACCATCAGCATCCTCCTCGCAGGACCATCAGCATCCTCCTCGCAGGACCATCAGCATCCTCCTCGCAGGACCATCAGCATCCTCTCGTAGCACCATCAGCATCCTCCTCGTAGCTCCGTCAGCATCTTCCTCGTCTCTCCGTCAGCATCCTCTTCTTTTCATCAGCCTCCTCCTCATCTAAACGAAAAATCTAAAAACAAGTTAAGATTAGGACAGGAAAAAATAATAACGTACTCCTCTATCTTCTTCTTGATCTTCATCTCTTGTACCTAAAAAAAGACTGAAGAAGAAGTTATTTGTTTGATGGAAACAAACAATTGTAAGCACCCACCACTGCCAGAGTTCGCGTTCTTTCACTGTCCGTACGCTCGACATGTCTATAAAAATGCAACAACAATATCATGGCAAGTGATTATGGAGATCGTGCTTTCGCATTGTAATAGTTTTATCATGCTAAAACATTTATATCCATGACTGTACATGATTGAACATGTATGTTAAGTGAACAACTCTTTGAAGATTATAAGACTCGCGGAAAGCTTATCGTTTGAACCGTGCATTGTGTTATAACACCCCTCAATGTTATAACACATGCAGTGTTCTGTAACATTGTCAAACGATTTATTACATGCGATATAATTCAAAAATACCTAGATAAAAACAAGATAATTAACGAATGTCTCATGCAATATATTCTCTGCTCAACTCTTTTCGATTTCATCCAAAAGGTTGTTTAATTATTTCGGTAAGGCACTAAGGTTTATAAAAGATTTTGCAACACTCTGCCCGCATGTTGCAATATCAAATGAATTATTTATTACCTCAATTATATATTACAGAATATACAATTCTGTAATATATAATTGAGTAATTGATTAAATTCCTCGTCTCTTCATGTGCATCCTTCTCGTTTCTTTATGTGCATCCTTCTCGTCTCTTCATGTGCATCCTTCTCGTCTTTCCATCTGCATCTTCCTTGTCTTTTATCTGCATCCTCCTCGTCTTTCCATCTGCATCCTCCTCGTCTTCCATCTGCATCCTCCTCTTCTTTCCATCTTCCTCCTCCTTTCCATCTGCATCCATCTCATCTTCCATCTCTCCATCTGCATCTCCATTTCCATCTTCCTTCTCTTTCCATCGCATCCGATTTCCATCTCATCCTTCATCGATCCATTCCCTTATCCATCCTTTCTCTTTCCTTGTCTCTCCATCCATCCTCTCGATCCATTCTTCTGATCCTTTTCGCATCCTCGATCCATCTGATCGCATCCATCTTTCGATCCTCGATGTCTCCATCTCCATCTTCATTCCGATCCTCTCGTCGACGCGATCCCCACTCCATCTCTTCGCCCTTCCTCATCCTGATTTTCATTCATCGCCTCATCTGATCGCGACTCTTCATCTGCATTCTCGTCTCTTCATGATCTCGATTCATCGCATCCTCCTCGTCTTTATCTGCATCCTCCGTTCTTCACATCCTTCTTGTCTCATCGACCTCGATCTGATCGATCTTTTTCATCCACCTCCTCTCTTCATCATCCTCCTCGTCTTTCATCTGCATCCTCCTTTGTCTCTTCTCATCCTCTCGTCCCTTCATCTGCATCCTCCTTTTCTCTTTATCTGCATCCTCGTCTCTTCATCTGTATCCTCCTTTTCTCTTCATCTGCATCCTCGTCTCTTCATCTTTATCCTTCTTGTCTCTCCGTCAGCATCCTCCTCTACTTTTCATCAGCCTCCTCCTCATCTAAACGAAAAATCTAAAAACAAGTTAAGATAAGGACAGGAAAAATAATAACGTACTCCTCTATCTTCTTCCTGATCTTCATCTCTTGTACCTAAAAAAAGACTGAAGAAGGAGTTATTTGTTTAATGGAAACAAACAATTGTGTAGCACATACCACTGCCGGAGTTCGCGTTCTTTCACTGTCCGTACGCTCGACACTGTACATGACTGAACATGTTTGTTAAGTGAACAAATCTTTGAAGATTATAAGACTCGCGGAAAGCTTATCGTTTCAAACGTGCATTGTGCTGTAACACCCCTCAATGTTAGCAGGGACGGATTAACCAAAGGAAGCTGTCTAGAAGCCTCCACAAACAAGGGCCTTCACATTATTCAAAGGAAGAATAAACATAGTTGCTTTAAAGACGAAGGAAAAGCATTTAGTTTATTTGTTGGATCAATTTCAGCTGATGAAGAACAGACCACGTATGACAACGAATCACAGTAAACTCAGCCATTTTGCTCTGATGAGCATTGAGGACAATATTCTAACAGAAATAAACTTGGAAGAGCTTATCAAAGACTGCCAGAATAAAATCGCAATAACTACTTTATCTCAAGTAGCAGCATTCACTCGTCGTATGCAACCGCTTTACACGCTATATTCGAAGTTTATACTTTTATCAAATGCTTTACGAAATTTGAAAGTAAATTTTACTGTTGAAAAATGAGCAGCACATTGCGTTTAGAGTAAGGGAAAGGGATCTTTACTACGTATTTTGCTGCTCAGAGCCTCCACACATCTTAATCCGGCCCTGCTCGGGAGACATAAAATATTATATCCTTTTGTCACAAAGACAAAAGGATTGAACTTGCTATTTCTAACAATGGCCAGTTGTTAGAAATAGGCAAAATGCAAAATCATCACACTTATGTGAATGATAACGATGAATGCAAAAATGAAAATATTTTCTGGACATGTATTGAAGAGGTCCAATAATTGATGTCAAGAATAGTGGGAAACTTTTGGCAGTTTCGTTCGTGTTCTCACTTCAATATGTAACTGAAACTTGACGGCATTTTTGTGCTCCAAGATCGAAACATAGAAATACTAAGAAATCGATCATTCCTTCGAACAAATAGGACTCATAACGATGCTTTGAATATGCTGTAACGAGAATTCACATCACAATTGGGCTATACATTTTAATTCATCGATCTCAAACTTACATCTTTATGTCATCGACGATTTTTCTGTATTTAACCTGCCGCTTTCAAACATGGCTAAAATATCTCAACCGTGTCATGTCTTCAGTTGCTCGTCCTTTCCAACAAGTAGTCGCATTTCTTGAAGGCTGTCTTCGACTTTCAACAGACTTTCACCTTTCCCAGACGAACAGCTCGGTCAAATAGGGTTATCGAAGTGAAAGACCCTACTTTTTCTTCTGATAACTTTCATATATCACATGAATTAATTATTAATTCATTCGTCAATTTTGTTCAAACCATGATAAAAAGGGATTAAATTCATTGATTGCATGAAAATATATGCAGGGCAAAGACAAAAGGAATTAAGCCTGGTTATAAGTTAACTAACGACATTGGTTAGTAAAAGAAAGCAAAGCCTTTTCCCCAGAGGTTTGGAGAAAACAAAAGAATATTTCTTTTGTTTCCTCAATGAAGAGTTTGCGAAATCAATGATTGTAAGGTTATGACGGCAGACAGAGCATGTCGTGTTGTGGTAAATTTTATCTAGTATGAACAAAAAATTATCTCACCCAAAACCGCAATTCAATGCACCATAGCTTGGAGAGTTATCATTTTTCTCCCACCTGACCACCTTTATTCAACTTGTTACGTCAACAAATAAATTAGAAGGCATATCAAAAGCTTGTAATTTATTCACGTGGGAATCACCCACATGTTATAGAAAAGCTTTTGTCGTGCTCAATACTTATTATGAACATTGGAGCCCTGCTTATTGCAATAATATGACTTGCCATTGTAAAATGTAATGTAATAATTTAACGAGAGAATTTTATTGACAGAACTAAATGGTAGCAAGTGATTCATTTTAGCAATCCTAATAGGATGGGACAAAGGGAAAGAATGAGAGGTAAGTTCGTTTTCAAATAATTATCTTTAGCGATGTAACGATAGCAGGACTTTCAAATGCGGTAAATGTTTTGTGGGAAAAGCGCGATTGTTTCTTTTCCGTGGTTGTAATCCTTAAAATTACATTATTAACAGTAAAACTGAACAAATTGAAAGTTATCTTTTTCCTCTTATATTCCTTGTTCAACGAGTTCATTTCCTTGATCAAACCATGATGAAAATTTATCCAATCACATTTACATTAAAGTTTTTTTAAACTTCAAGATTTCCCCACATTCATTTAGCTTAAATGCCGCATGATAAACGAATGATATCTCTAATCAAAGATGATCACGCAGTCTCCGATTTTTTTAGGAATGAAAATAGGTTTTACGTTAATTGGTTTATGTTTGGCGTAAGGTGAAGCCGGTGATCCAACAATTAACACGTGATTACCCTTTAACCATAATCTCCACATGCTTTTATGAAATCCTCGAGCATCTAAGTCCCAGATTCGTAAACATCTCGCATTGTATTTGCAAATACAAACAGAATGTAACCAACATGTCTTTAATTACATAATTACATGAATGTTATATTTGGTTCATGTGTCATGCTTACTGGTTATGATAAATATCTTTTGATATGATCAAAGCTCGTTTGATCTGAAATAATTTAGTTTAGAAATTATAATGATCATCAGAAAAATTACCTAGTGATCATGAAAATACTTTGCTGTTTTGCCAAATTTCAAGGTTTATCTGCATACATAGGAAGACATTTTTACTCTATAAAAAATGCTTTTCATACATCAATAGCCCTTTGGATTTTATGGCAAACTTTGGATTTTATGGTATGAGCCATAGATTAACACACCTTTACATCTCTAGATGAGGTGTTCAGTTTGAAAAGGGGACAATATGTGACATGGGACAACATTTCATGTATGTGAAATACTCAGGTTTAATACCATTCCAGTCAAATTGTCAAAATAAAAAGCTTCATGGATCAGAAGACTCAAAATCACAGGTTATAGTAAACAGCTTCTCATGTAATCAATGTTAGTTTTCTCAAATCTTAAACAATATGTAGTATAACTGTCCAATGATTGAATGATCAATGATCATAAACTGAAAAGCCCCAAACATTTGCTTATGATAAAGTAAATAATAGTATGGCGCCTTATGGCTACAGATTTTTTGTCCATTGAAATATATTTGCAGGAATGTAGGATTTTGCTGCCATATAACGGCCACGATTCCCCAAGCACTAAAGAAATTATAGCTAAAACTCCAACAACAATTTTAGAAGCATCAATCTGCTTACCATATGCCATATTGACATAAATCGCATCACATACTCGCATAAATTGACTTTGATATATTACATTCATGCATACACTTCACTTGTCCTTTACTTACGATTTTGGATGTAAATTTCTGCTGATAAAACTCAAAACAATGTTGGCTTTCTTTTGAACATCAATGACTGAAATGTCGCTCGCGAGATCGTCTTCGCCAAGCATTTACAATTTATCCATAAATTTTTCACCCTCTTGAAAAATTCACAGTTTGGACAGCTTCATTCATGTCAATATATGAATTTGTAAAGATTTCAATAAAATCCATCTGATTGTAGTTTAGTTTCTATCATGCTTATAAAATTGCTATGAAACGATCAAACATTCAATTCAGACAGTGAGCTTGACTATGTTAGTTCAGTTGGCTATCAGTCGAAATCCGTCAAACCAATCACAATAAAACAAAAATTCAAATGAACCAATTGTAAGATAGCAATGAAGTATTTGCCGGTTGCCAGTCTCCCTTAAATTTGCGCAAATTTTCTCATTATACTGAACTACCATTTTGCTTGCACCAAGTCAAATGGAAGAGAAATGGAGTGCAAACCATTGAGCTCTATAAGAACTGGAGGGGCAAAGGGGCCTGGACCCCGTGGTCAAAAACATGGCGGTAATGGCGGATTTTGGTTGTCAAAACTTCCACTTTGAGAAAAATTTTTAACATTCGCTCCCTCCCGAATCCGGAACTCTATTACTGCTTATATCAATGACAACCAGCGAAAACAACCACGATACCGTAAGCATAAAATATTGAAAATAATGCTTCAGATTTTGTGAAATAGACACACACATTTAAATGAGGTAAATCAAAATAACGTATATGTTGTCAAGTAATGCTTTAGCTATGTTAGAAATAAATATCAAACGGCATTCTTTACACTGTCAATGTGTCGTTAAGCTTTAATGCATAATCCCATGCGCAATACTTGTGTTTTTGACTATTTTTAACAGCTTGGTGCAACTGTCTTTCTTGAATAGATGGGTAAATATTAGTTAAAATGTCCAAAAGGAGTTAGAAAAGTTAGCTTACCCCTACGACTTAAGTCGACTGGAAATATATTATAAGTAGGTATGTATTTTTTTTTGAGTTTTTTTTGGTAGGATTGATTCTGGGTGTCTTATAAGGTATTATGATATTCTGATAAATCTACTGAGAACTTATGAAGAAAATATCTCGAACTAGGAGAGCAAAAGAACAAAATTCAAAATTCTATAATCATGTTGCTGGTTCTGTTTTGAGCCAAGATATTAGTAACTGGATTGTCATTGACAACCATGGATCTACTATTGAACAGAACTACATTAATTTCCCATTGAAAATACGATTTTTTAAATTAAAGTGCATTGGTTTCTCTGACATAACACTTTTCTTATTGCTGCATGAAGGCAAACCTGTTTAAATAATTATAATGTAGGTGAAGATATTTAGCATGTTGTATAATTGTTATTATACAGACATTATTTATAATATTATGGCCTTGTGTAATGTATGTCAAGAACTTATTAATTCTCAAAAATGCTAACCTTCTTGCACTACTTTTCTCTTGTGTCCTTACAAATTACAGTTACCTATACTAATTTTTTCTAGGTTCAAACAACTTGACAAATTTTTGAATTTTACATTATGCCTTGAATTTTTCTTTTTGTCTTTTGGTAAAATATCAGTAAATGACTTAAAATCAAGTTTATCTAAAATAGTATTTTGTACAAAATAACTATACATAATTGGAAAAGTCTCATGTTGAAGGCCGATGTGGCTTCTTTTACTAGATTGCTACTCTTATTCTTTTAAATGATATCGTAATTCTTCAAAAGACATAAAAAGTTCTTTGTCATCAATTTTTGCTTCTTCCACATTCAACTTCATTGCAACCAATGCATCTTATGTGAATTTTTAATCACCTGGAATTGAAAAACATATGGACTTTGTCAGATGATGCAGTACTGTATTTAATGTTTCATGCATGTCATGATAAGCTTTGCTTGAGCAAATATTTCAAGGTAGGAGCAAAATTTGGCACATTATTGAACAAAGTAGTTTTTATCTTGATTTTGATGTACTAACCTGTTTACTACACTGTGTAACAAACAATTCATTTACAGAAACACCAGATGGCATTTATAAAACTTTTAGCATAAAGCAAACCATTACACACCATCATCATGATTGTCCATAATCTGTCAAATTGTCCAGGCTAGCTGTTTAATACAGGTATTTTTTATTGTACGACATGTACCAAAGAGCTCATTAATTAATCTTGCACTGCATTTGATTTCAATACAGCTCTGTCCTTAATATTTGCTTCATATTTTCAGAAAATATCATGAAAAATCCTCCATTTCAACTCAGTTGAAACAAGGAGTTTTAAGATATGCATATCTCGATAAGAACTGGTTGCTTTGCCTCGTCTAGCAAGCGATTAAGTAAAGAACAAATAAGAATGGATAAACATAACTTAAATTATAACTTAGGAGTAAAACATTCACAAAATATATGCAATCACACTTCAAGTATTGACTTAAAACAAAACACTGAACACTTTAAATGGTAAACAATCTTACGTTGCTTACCGGTATCATGAAATGTTTCCTTTTCTGGCATTACTTCAGCATCCGTCTACCAAACAAGTTTGCAACATGTTTTAAAGATAAAATTTCTAAAAGTTTTTTGTGTTTGGCATTGATATTTTATATAATCGCTATTGTGGTTGTCAAATCCGGGTGGGCGAAAAAAATTTCATTTTATGAGCCCGCGTCTTTCCGCTGACTTTGACAACCAAAATCCGCCATGTTTTTGACCACGCGGCCGCGCGCTGATAATTTATAGTAATTTTGTTGACGTTTCCCCTCCAGGTCTTATAGAGCTCAATGGTGCAAACAATGACCATTAATTCGAGTACGTATATTTCCGATCGTATTGAAGTCACATTTTAACAGATGGAAAAATAATGCTACAAGTTAATGTTTCCTTGACACTTGTAGGAGTTTCTTAAAGAATCCTTTTACGTGGAGAACTGTGTCTTTACATGATCGCCGATATTGCTTTTGCTCAAAAGTCTTGGTAGTGTTTATGCCGATGAACTAAAATGGCGGGATAGCTGGTCATTTATCGTCACAAAACGTGGCCATCAATACTCAGAGAAACATCATCACGCAGCAGACATATCGAACTGGGGTGAGCCTGTCACTGCTCGTGCTACAGTTCCTCTTGTTCCTGCTAAACAATCTCAATGTGCTTGGGATGACAGTGAAGAATCAAAGCGAAGAAGAATGTTTTGTGATAAGTTTGAAGGCTATGGAAGTGTATGCAGTTGTAAGTATCTTTTCGTTACATCCATGTAGGATTAGATTTCTTATTTAATTGAACGTACAGCGATGTGTTCAGTAATTTTGCCATTCACATTGTGCATTAAAACTTCGAGAAAATATTCTGAGAATACTCCATGGAAAAAATTGTAGAAATAAGGATATCACTGTTATTGCAACTAATGTTAGAACGATATGAAGAACTGACAGAATATGTTCTTAAATGTTGTAGGTAATAATCCTGCTCCAATTGAAATTAAAACAACACCATTGAAGTTAGAAAAAGTTCAAGACATTCCTGTTGCTGTGATTGCTAGTAACAGGCCACATTATCTTTATCGTGGCTTAGGGTCAAGTTGTCAGCTCATGGAGCAAAGAAGAAGTTATTTACTGTATTTATTGATGGATTCTTTGAAGAACCAGCTGCTGTGGCAAGGCTATATGATGTAAAAGTCGTACAGCATATTCCTATTAGCAGTAAGAACGCTAGAATATCACAGGTTGGTAAGGCTTTTTCTTTGAGAGTGTTTACACGATGTAATCAAAATTTTTTCGTTCCTTTTATTACTTTTTAAATGTATTTTCTCTTCCCCCCAGCATTACAAGCGAACATTGACAGAGACGTTTAATGCTTATCCCAATGCTCGGTATATGATTATTTTGGAAGAAGATTTAGACGTATCTGTGGACATATTTAGTTATTTTAATCAATTTTGGCCTTTAATGGATACAGATGAAAGTCTGTACTGTATATCGCGTGGAATGATCAGGTTTGTTATAAACAAAAGCTAACAACATTCTTTTCATCTTTTTAGTCTTTTACTCTATTGTTGGCTTGTGTTTGCTACACAACAAAATTTTAATTCGTTTTCAACTTTATTAACGTGGTTTTGAACGTCTCTGTTTCTTTTTGCTTTTTTGTCGAGTCCAGTTTATCTCTGACGAGAGTGCAGAATGTAAATTAAATAAATCTCAAATATTTTTCACATTATAATGGAAAATGGAAATCTCCGTACAAGAATCTGTTATCTTATTGTAGTTTTCATTGGTTACATTATGTTTGTCTTTATCGAGCTTCCTTCCTTGCACATCACAAAGTGAAATTTAGGAAATTTACCTTAGAAATGGTACATCCATTGAAAAACTAATTTATGTGATTAATGATTTAATTGCAAAAACAAGTATTTCTATTTTTAGGGTTATGATCACACGTGTAATGATCCTGCAATGTTATATCGTGTAGAAACAATGCCTGGTTTAGGCTGGTGAGAATTTTTATTACTACAAATGATTTTGTTTACGCTATGACATCACGCAACAGTGACGTCATGCTACAATGACATCACACTACAAGCACATCACGCTGCAATGACATCACGCTACAATGACCTCACGCTGCAATGACATCACGCCGCAATGACATCACGCAGCACTATAAATGTATAGATAGTATAAACTTCATTCTATCTATTATTTCTCTTTACATTAACAGGTTGCTCAAACGACGACTTTATAAAGAAGAACTTGAGCCAAAATGGCCAACCCCTGATCTCTTTTGGGATTGGGATATGTGGATGAGGATGGACAGCAACAAAAAGGGACGTGAATGTATCATTCCGGATATCTCAAGAACCTACCATTTTGGCGCCAAAGGCCTGAATATGAATGTATTTTTTCAAGAATCCTATTTCAAAAAACATACGTTGAATACTGAACCTAACGTTAAGTTTAATGTTGGATTGTTGAAAAAAGAAAATTATGAGAAGGAGATTGAACGGCTTGTAGGGTATGTCTTGCAGGATTTTATAAAATATTGACAACAATATTTTTCTTTTCACAGGACAATGAAGGAGATTTCTACTTAGTGATTCAGTGATCTAATTATCATCATAGTGCGTATATTTATGTCATTTGATTGTTAGAGATGTCTATCTACTGTTTTTTACAGGTTGGCAGAGCCGTTGGATCACAGTAAAAATCCTTGAAAGAACGAGAAAGACTTTGTTCCAGAAACATCTGATAAAACATATATATTTTATATTGAAATGAAACATGCTAACGACTGGACAACATGGAATAATATAGCGAGATGTTTACGAATCTGGGACTTAGATGCTCGAGGATTTCATAAAAGAAATAGCAAGTTCAATCCTTTTGTCTTTGTGACAAAAGGATATAATATTTTATGTCTCCCGAGCAGGGCCGGATTAAGATGTGTGGAGGCTCTGAGCAGCAAAAATACGTAGTAAAGATCCCTTTCCCTTACTCTAAACGCAATGTGCTGCTCATTTTTCAACAGTAAAATTTACTTTCAAATTTCGTAAAGCATTTGATAAAAGTATAAACTTCGAATATAGCGTGTAAAGCGGTTGCATACGACGAGTGAATGCTGCTACTTGAGATAAAGTAGTTATTGCGATGTTATTCTGGCAGTCTTTGATAAGCTCTTCCAAGTTTATTTCTGTTAGAATATTGTCCTCAATGCTCATCAGAGCAAAATGGCTGAGTTTACTGTGATTCGTTGTCATACGTGGTCTGTTCTTCATCAGCTGAAATTGATCCAACAAATAAACTAAATGCTTTTCCTTCGTCTTTAAAGCAACTATGTTTATTCTTCCTTTGAATAATGTGAAGGCCCTTGTTTGTGGAGGCTTCTAGACAGCTTCCTTTGGTTAATCCGTCCCTGCTCCTGAGAGGAACTCCCGTAGCATCAAGTGATGTTATAGTAGGTGAGATAAAAGTGGGTAATTCACTTGAGAAACGTTCAAATGAATTACCTCAAATATATATTATAGAGTATACAAGATATTGCAACATGGGGGCAAAATGTTGCTCAATCTTCAAATGCGATGATGTTTTATAAACCTTCGTACCTTACCGTAATAATTAAACAACCTTTTCAATGAAATCGAGCAGAGAATATATTGCATGAGACATTCGTTAATTATCTTGTTTTTATCTAGGTATTTTTGAATTATATCGCATGTAATAAATCGTTTGACAATGTTACAGAACACTGCATGTGTTATAACATTGAGGGGTGTTACAGCACAATGCACGGTTGAAACGATAAGCTTTCCGCGAGTCTTATAATCTTCAAAGAGTTGTTCACTTAACATACATGTTCAGTCATGTACAGTGTCGAGCGTACGGACAGTGAAAGAACGCGAACTCCGGCAGTGGTATGTGCTAAACAATTGTTTGTTTCCATTAAACAAATAACTCCTTCTTCAGTCTTTTTTTAGGTACAAGAGATGAAGATCAGGAAGAAGATAGAGGAGTACGTTATTATTTTTCCTGTCCTTATCTTAACTTGTTTTTAGATTTTTCGTTTAGATGAGGAGGAGGCTGATGAAAAGTAGAGGAGGATGCTGACGGAGAGACAAGAAGGATGCAGATGAAGAGACGAGGATGCAGATGAAGAGAAAAGGAGGATGCAGATGAAGAGACGAGGATGCAGATAAAGAGAAAAGGAGGATGCAGATGAAGGGACGAGGAGGATGCAGATGAGAGACAAGGAGGATGCAGATGGAAAGACGAGGAGGATGCAGATGAAGAGAGGGAGGATGCAGATGAAGAGACAAGAAGGATGGATGGAAAGATGAGGAGGATGCAGATGAAGAGACAAGAAGGATGCAGATGAAGAGAGAGGATGCAGATGAAGAGACAAGGAGGATGCAGATGGAAAGACGAGGAGGATGTGATGAAGAGACAAGAAGGATGCAGATGAAGAGGAGGATGCAGATGAAGAGAAGGAGGATGCAGATGGAAAGACGAGGATGGAAGAGACAAGAAAGGATGGAAGAGGATGGATGATGAAGAGGAGGATGGATGGAAGAGGAGGATGGATGGAAAGATAGAAAGGAGAAAGATGGAAAGGGATGGATGGAAAGGATGGATGGAAAGGAGATAGAAAGGGATGGATGGAAAGATGGGAGAATGAAAGATGGATGGATGGAAATGGATGGAAAGGATGGATGGAAAGATGAGAAGGATGCAGATGGAAAGACGAGAAGGATGGATGGAAAGACAAGGAAGATGCAGATGGAGAGACGAGAAGGATGTATGAAGAGACGAGAAGGATTCAGATGGAAAGGCGAGAAAGGATGCAGATGGAAAGAAGAGGAGGATGCAGATGGAAAGAAGAGGAGGATGCAGATGGAAAGACGAGGAGGATGCAGATGGAAAGACGAGGAGGATGCAGATGGAAAGACGAGGAGGATGCAGATAAAAAGACAAGGAAGATGCAGATGGAAAGACGAGAAGGATGCACATGAAGAGACGAGAAGGATGCACATAAAGAAACGAGAAGGATGCACATGAAGAGACGAGGAATTTAACATTACTCAATATATTACAGAATTGTATATTCTGTAATATATAATTGAGGTAATTAAGTTAATTCATTTGATATTGCAACATGCGGGCAGAGTGTTGCAAACTCTTTTATAAACCTTAGTGCCTTACCGAAATAATTAAACAACCTTTTGGATGAAATCGAAAAGAGTTGAGCAGAGAATATATTGCATGAGACATTCGTTAATTATCTTGTTTTTATCTAGGTATTTTTGAATTATATCGCATGTAATAAATCGTTTGACAATGTTACAGAACACTGCATGTGTTATAACATTGAGGGGTGTTATAACACAATGCACGGTTCAAACGATAAGCTTTCCGCGAGTCTTATAATCTTCAAAGAGTTGTTCACTTAACATACATGTTCAATCATGTACAGTCATGGATATAAATGTTTTAGCATGATAAAACTATTACAATGCGAAAGCACGATCTCCATAATCACTTGCCATGATATTGTTGTTGCATTTTTATAGACATGTCGAGCGTACGGACAGTGAAAGAACGCGAACTCTGGCAGTGGTGGGTGCTTACAATTGTTTGTTTCCATCAAACAAATAACTTCTTCTTCAGTCTTTTTTTAGGTACAAGAGATGAAGATCAAGAAGAAGATAGAGGAGTACGTTATTATTTTTCCTGTCCTAATCTTAACTTGTTTTTAGATTTTTCGTTTAGATGAGGAGGAGACTGATGAAAAGAAGAGGATGCTGACGGAGAGACGAGGAAGATGCTGACGGAGCTACGAGGAGGATGCTGATGGTGCTACGAAGAGGATGCTGATGGTCCTGAGGAGGATGCTGATGGTCCTTCGAGGAGGATGCTGATGGTCCTGCGAGGAGGATGCTGATGGTCCTACGAGGAGGATGCTGATGGCGCTACGAGGATGCTGATGGTGCTACGAGGAGGATGCTGATGGTGCTACGAGGAGGATGCTGATGGTGCTACGAGGAGGATGCTGATGGCGTTACGAGGTGGATGCTGATGTAGCAACGAAGAGGATGCTGATGGAGCGACGAAGAGGATGCTGATGGAGCGACGAAGAGGATGCTGACGGAGAGACGGGAAGCATGCTGATGGAGAACAAGATGAAAAATCGTTTAATTAGATTCGTGCTCAGTTACAATTGGTTTTTTCTATGAAATTAGATTGTCCCCCCGCTATCTAATTTGAATTAGAATTTTAGCAAATTGTGAAGTTGTTTCAAAGTAGTTTGCCACCTACTTCGAACTGCTGAGCACAAAGTAATTTTGCTAACTCGCAATGACTGTTCATGCGTCTATTTCTATAATACTATAGTTCATGCGACTTAAACGATCTCATGACACCGTTGAAATAAATGAAATGGTAATCGAGTTCCATCGGTTCTAATCGCTAATAAAGTGCTCGCAAGAAAAATGTTTCGTTTGATCATAGTGTGTGTGTGTCATCGTGGGGGTAACTTCATATGCTGAAAAGACAGTTAAATTTTCCATGCACCTAACTCCCAAAGACTATAGCTAAATGTGTCTATTTCACAAAGACTTTAGTTCATGCACCTAAAGGCTATAAAATCTATATATATGTATATTGTTCGTGCATCTTAACAATATAGTTCATGTACCTAACTCCCAAAGACTATAGTTCACAAACTTAACTTTCAAAGAATATCTTTCACACACCCAACTTCAAAGACTAAACTCCCAAAAATTCTTCTTCATGCACCTAAACTCGGAACGACTATAGTTCATACACCTAACTCCCAAAGACTATATTTCACGCACGTAACTCGCAAAGACTATAAGATCATGCGTCTATTTCCCAAAGAGTTTACTTCATGCAACTAACACCAAAGAAAATAGTTAATGTATCTAATTACCAAAGACTATAGTTCATGCACCTTACTCCGAAGGACTATAGTTCATGAAAGAGCTCCCAAAGACTATAGTTCATGCACCTAACATCCAAAGACTATAGTTAAACCACTTAAATTCCAAAACTTATATTTCACTCACCTAAATCTCAAAGATTGTTCATGCGTTTATTTCCCACTTATTGAACTCACTTGATTGGTGAATTGTATTTTCCCATGTTTTCAAAAACTTTCTTAAAGGTCGTACATTCCAATTCTTGTTCTTAATTCCAGGATCACATACATATGAACTATTGACCAGACAAAATCATGATATCTAATTACAATGTGACATCACTCTTCACATCCATACCATTAGACATAGCCAAACAACACAACTAGACAAATAAAATCCTAGACTTACTCAACCTTTGCCTCTCCACTGAATTCTTCTTCTAAAACTCATACTATAGACAACTTTCAACGAATCAATGGGGTCACCACTATACACCTTCCTCGCAAACGCTGTCGTGGAAAACCTCGAAACACAATCAGTCACCAACAGCACAGATGAAACAGATAGACTATGGAATAGATATAAAGACGATATCTTTGCCATAGTCAAGAAAGCCAAAACTGGACAAATGCTACACACCATAAAAATACTACAAAGAAGATAACCTTCACTAAAGACAAAAAAAACACAACAAGACTAAACAAACAAGTATACGGCATAAATACCCTTACAGACCAAATACTTGATTTCAACCGTAATCATTCCACGCAACACAAAATAAGCAACATTCGAACACTTTTCAACAGAATTAACACTCACTGCAGCACAGAAGAAGCCATAAAACAGAACGCAACTACTTGTTCTCATTTATGAAAACTAGTTACCCTATAGAAACTTTATAGACGAAACTATAAGCAAAATCAGTCAGAACTTTACTACTAACGGACACCTCCCGAAAGCAGACACTGCTTTTAGGTCCCTGCCAATACTCTTACTATTAACTTATTTACAACCTCTCATAAGCAGACACCAAAACAATCTTCAAACAATTCTGTAGTGTTTATGGTGTTTCGAAAGTTCACTTTTAGGGGTGGTCATAAGAGAAAAAATTTACATGAGTTTAATATTTACTGAGGAAATTACCATACACCAGCTATGGTCAAATGGCAATTTTGCACAAATTAACAAATATTCGTGGCAGAGATTGAATTTTTATATTTTCGTTGTTTCAAGAAATTTACATTGTTTTTGCTGACATACGATAGAACATATTTCGCATACCTTCCTCCTAAACCCACTTTCCGTCATATTTTGCCGTTTAGTGTGCATTTCATAGCCGAATCTTATAACTTAGATATTTCATACAGGGACAATCCTTCACCATTGATAAGTGTCGTCGCTTTTGTGCTCGATAAATCCCGCTTCGAAAAAAATATAGATATGACGATATATTTTCGGATATTTTTGGGGTTTTTTTGTAGTGTTGTTCGCAATGATTCATAAATAGATCAAATTGAACCTTAGCCGACAATTACCCCGCACGTGTTATTATCCAGTTCAATTGTTGCACATTGATGAGACCATCTCATAGCATCAAAAATTTTTATATTAATCTATAAATTGTGATAGCAATGAAATTATAAATTCACAATGGCATACATCTGTAAACATAGAAAGCTTCATCCCCCATCCCCAGGATTTATCTGCCGTTTTTGACCAAAATTATTCAAAGCTTCCATCAGTTTCTAATGAAGCATAAAACAAACTCATTTAGTTAAACAATTAAAAATATTATCAATCATTAAACATTTTCGATATTTATGACAAGACAGCTAAAAAACATTGTAAAGACTGCATTTATGTTCGCTGTGAACAAATTTCCTCCCTTTTGGGAGGTAAACAAACCAATCTGTATGTCAAATCAACAAATGAAAACATTCTATATTTTATTTCATTCTTGAATAACTGTTTATATCTTTGATATCCATAAAGAGGAATTGCACACGATGAAACAAATGTAACTTGATTAAATAGTTCATTGGTTTCAACCATTGAGTTGTAATGTTTGAAATGTTCAAGGTTAGAAGCCATCTTGATTTCAGCAAGCGGAGACTGAAACGAGTTAATATTTTAGTTGCAATATTAACAAATACTAAATAAAATCAATTACAAGAAAACAATAACAATGATGAACCAAAATTGTTAAAGAACATATTTTAAGTAAAAACGACTCATGCAAGGTAACTAAAATGTTCAACTTATGATGGTGAAAATATAAAAAAAACATGGAGATAAAATAAAGCATGACAATCAATAGATCTTCACTTAGGTAATAATAGCTGCAGATCCAAATTTATAAACAGTGTGTGAAGCACTGACTAAAACATTTTGGCAATCAAATGCACTTGAAAGCCCTGGCAGGTTAGCTAAAGTCCCTCGGTGCTACAAGTCTTGTGACTTTTACTACAAAATCTCCCTCGGCTTTCAAGTACATTTAATCACTAAGTTACCTCACTACCGTGCATCGTTTTACTTATAAAAATATTGCACACGCTAGCTAAAATGTAGATCCCATTAACTACATACATGTATGGTCTTATATGAGCCAGTTTTAAATACTCAAAGAATATTTAGGCAATCAGAGAGTAAAATGTTTTACCTTACTCTGAACAAAACAGTTTTTCTTGTGAGTCTTTTTATCGCAGGGATACGTCGGTATAAAATTCTTATCACCAAAATGTTTCAAATTCCAAATTGGTGAAGTGTTGACTGTGTAGTAAGCTGGTCGATACAACTCATACGCAACGCATCGATTTGCTGTTTGAAATCATGATAGAACTCATGCAGATAGATTGGTTTCACATAGCCAGAATAACAACCAATAACTGTTAGCTTCCAGAGCAATTCAGTGAATTCACCACAAATGTCAGTCTGCTACGTGAAGATAGTTCTCTTGCATATGCCTCAAGTCTTTTTTACGCTTCCGAATTGCATCCTTGAACGCCTTATTTTATACAGTTCAGCCAACATTTACCTATTCTTGCCATAAAATGATTAAGTGTGCTCCAAGTTGACTGAAAATAAAATTGTTCAGCATACGCCATTTTGAAAGCATGTCTATAACAGTGAACTCGACATTTGAATAACTGGAATGATAACCGAAGCCAAAAATTGAAGCCAAAAAAATATTTGTTGTCATCATTCGTCATCACACGTCAGGCTCTAGTCTCTCGCGTGTTCATTTTAATTTTTTTAAATCATTTGTTCCTTGGTAATGGTAGAGTTCGGATCTTGATCAGAGCGTAAAAATAACGAAATTTTTGGAATGAAAAGGTTCACGGAAAGTGAATCCAAGTGATAAATCGAGAAGCAAGATGAGGTGAACTTAGTCGATCTGCTCTTACGCTGCGGTTTTCCTTTAAAACATATCAAAGTCTTTAAGGATATTCAATTATTGATATCGAGATGAAAACCATTTAGTATTTCAAGTTTCAAGCACTATCAAAATCGATGAAAAATACAATCGCTCTGTAAAAAGTAAAAATGCGAGTTATCGACTCAATATTTTTTATGAAACTGGATATTCAAGTTTCTTTTTATTCGGAAAACAGATCTTTAAATCCACTTAAATGACAAAAAGACAAACACTGTCTGACACCGTTTGAAAATTTACCTTCGGACGAAAGAAAAGTTTATGCTTGAATATTTTCTCGTCATATTTTCTATTGTATTGTCTTTTAGCATACAGTGTAATATTCATTTGGCTTTTCCTCGTTACAAGTTGTAAGTTACAACGAACTCACTGTAGTAAAGTTTCAGCTGTAAAAAATAACCTTTTGCGAGGAGTTGGCCTCGTGTGTTGTTTGTCGTGATGTTGTTTATATGTTTATGCTTTCGCAATTTGTATTCAAATTTATATTGGCCGTGTATGTTTGGCACTCAGGGGAATGAAACTGACGTACAAACCGCGTGAATATTCGACTTTGAAGGACTGGAACTGACGTACGGACCGCGCAAGAGACTAGGACTTTGGCTTCAATTTTATATCTATAAAATGTATTGTCGTTATCATTCCAGATATATATATATATGGAGTTCACTGGTCTATAATTATCCACTATCATCCATTGTAACCACTATCAACATCCTAATGTCATTGGTCAAAAATAGTCACATTTTTTATTTACTTTTGCCTTTCATTCATGTCATTTCTAGATATGAATTTTCTTATTCGTCCATAGTTCAATCAATAATAAAAAAATATTTATTGTAAATTTTATTATAGCAAATGAACGTGACGCCAAGAGTTTGTAAATTACATGCAATTTTTCGTCGTGGTATAGTGAACTATCTACCTCCACCTTATTTAAACCCAGTGAACTCTACAACAACTGGAAGGCTAACTTGGACGCCATCTTTGAAGCCTGCACAAGCGCCGCCATTGAAGGTACGGAGGCGAAATACATCACTTCGAAATTGCCGAATTTTTTGCAAAAAATAGTGGTCTTCAAGCCAGCTTAATGTCTAAAAATCTTAAACAATGTTTGGAGATTGTTTTTTTTAATTTATTGTACGAACATTTTTACTTGCTAAAACTTACATATTACTTGAAGTCGTTTGAGAAGTTCCTTTCTCTTAAATTTATTTTTAAGTTTATCATACATTACATTACAGATGTAAATTTTTTTTTGGGTCTAAGGACATGAGAGTAGAAAACATTGAGGTGTAGAATAATCTCTAAACATGAAAGAAGATGCCGCTACTATACTGAGGAAATGCCAGTAAATTTGATGATCAATTTTCACATGTTTTGTACTTGTTGCGAGGTATGTCATTTTGTACGTTTTATGTAAATTTTCGTGAATTAAAAATACTGTGAAAAGTCCCAATTGGATTGCCAGCTGATGAAAAAATCATTTTACACCTTAATGATTTCTTCCTCTAAATTGTTTTCATCAATTACCATGTTGGGGCAAAATTCCATACAGTGAAAAGAATTTCTGCTAATTTTATGCTTTGCTGAGCTTCGACACTCTCATGTACTCTCCCAACATGGCTTATATGACGTCAAAAGAAAACACACTATAGCTACGGTTGAATGAAAACAGCCCCAAACATCATTAAATATTTGTTAAAATTGCGTATATATTATTACGAAACAGCGATTTTGTGCACGTTATGATGACAAATTTTCATATTGCATTGAAAAGCGTATTTCGAAAAAATTTATCAAACGCTGACACTTGCTGGCATGGTGACCATGTTTAATTTAAATACATATGCATATTTTAAGCTGACAGTCGTTTCAAAACTACCGATGGATGTTATTTATTCATCACGGCATAAATGCTTTTCAAACAACTTTATTATTCTAAAATCATTACTTAATAGAAATTTGTACAACATTATTCCAAAATAGGTGGCAGGAGCCTACTTTGAAATACTTTACCACAAAATTCGTTTTCTAAGTCAGAGAGCGAGGGAACTCTCTGACTTAGTAAGAATACGCCGAATTCAACAGAGTATATATGCTCTCTCAAAATCCAAGATTTCTTAAAAATCTAAAAGATAGCCAAAGAACAAATTAGCGATACAATAAAAACAAACACATAAACCTGAAAAGACTGAAGTCACTAAGCTACAAGTCAGTGAAACAAATAAAAATTTTATACCTCATCTTGTTCTCCATCAGCATGCTTCCCGTCTCTCCGTCAGCATCCTCTTCGTCGCTCCATCAGCATCCTCTTCGTCGCTCCATCAGCATCCTCTTCGTTGCTACATCAGCATCCACCTCGTAACGCCATCAGCATCCTCCTCGTAGCACCATCAGCATCCTCCTCGTAGCACCATCAGCATCCTCCTCGTAGCACCATCAGCATCCTCCTCGTAGCGCCATCAGCATCCTCCTCGTAGCGCCATCAGCATCCTCCTCGTAGGACCATCAGCATCCTCCTCGCAGGACCATCAGCATCCTCCTCGCAGGACCATCAGCATCCTCCTCGCAGGACCATCAGCATCCTCCTCGCAGGACCATCAGCATCCTCTTCGTAGCACCATCAGCATCCTCCTCGTAGCTCCGTCAGCATCTTCCTCGTCTCTCCGTCAGCATCCTCTTCTTTTCATCAGCCTCCTCCTCATCTAAACGAAAAATCTAAAACAAGTTAAGATTAGGACAGGAAAAATAATAACGTACTCCTCTATCTTCTTCTTGATCTTCATCTCTTGTACCTAAAAAGACTGAAGAAGAAGTTATTTGTTTGATGGAAACAAACAATTGTAAGCACCCACCACTGCCAGAGTTCGCGTTCTTTCACTGTCCGTACGCTCGACATGTCTATAAAATGCAACAACAATATCATGGCAAGTGATTATGGAGATCGTGCTTTCGCATTGTAATAGTTTTATCATGCTAAAACATTTATATCCATGACTGTACATGATTGAACATGTATGTTAAGTGAACAACTCTTTGAAGATTATAAGACTCGCGGAAAGCTTATCGTTTGAACCGTGCATTGTGTTATAACACCCTCAATGTTATAACACATGCAGTGTTCTGTAACATTGTCAAACGATTTATTACATGCGATATAATTCAAAATACCTAGATAAAAACAAGATAATTAACGAATGTCTCATGCAATATATTCTCTGCTCAACTCTTTTCGATTTCATCCAAAGGTTGTTTAATTATTTCGGTAAGGCACTAAGGTTTATAAAGATTTTGCAACACTCTGCCCGCATGTTGCAATATCAAATGAATTAACAATTACCTCAATTATATATTACAGAATATACAATTCTGTAATATATAATTGAGTAATATTTAAATTCCTCGTCTCTTCATGTGCATCCTTCTCGTTTCTTTATGTGCATCCTTCTCGTCTCTTCATGTGCATCCTTCTCGTCTTTCCATCTGCATCTTCCTTGTCTTTTATCTGCATCCTCCTCGTCTTTCCATCTGCATCCTCCTCGTCTTTCCATCTGCATCCTCCTCTTCTTTCCATCTGCATCCTTTCTCGTCTTTCCATCTGATCCTTCTCGTCTCTTCATGTGCATCCTTCTCGTCTCTCCATCTGCATCTTCCTTGTCTTTCCATCTGCATCCTTCTCGTCTTTCCATCTGCATCCTTCATCTTTCCATCTGCATCCTTCTTTCCATCTGCATCCTTCTCGTCTTTCCATCTGCATCCTCCTCATCTTTCCATTTGCATCCTCCTCTTCTTTCCATCTGCATCCTCCTTGTCTTTCTATCTGCATCCTTTCTCGCTTTTCCATCTGCATCCTTTCTCGTCTTTCCATCTGCATCCTTTCTCGTCTTTCCATCTGCATCCTTTCTCGTCTTTCTATCTGCATCCTACTCGTCTTTCCATCTGCATCCTCCTCGTCTTTCATCTGCATCCTCCTCGTCTTCATCTGCATCCTCCTCGTCTCTTCATCTGCATCCTCGTCTTTCCATCTGCATCCTCCTTGTCTCTTCATCTGCATCCTCCTCGTCTCTTCATCTGCATCCTCGTCTTTCCATCTGCATCCTTCTCGTCTCTTCATCTGCATCCTTCTTGTCTCTTCATCTGCATCCTCCTCGTCTCTTCATCTGCATCCGTCTTTCCATCTGCATCCTTCTCTCTCTTCATCATCCTTCTTGTCTCTTCATCTGCATCCTCCTCGTCTTTCATCTGCATCCTCCTTTCTCTTCATCTGCATCCTCCTCGTCTCTTCTGCATCCTTCTTGTCTCTTCATCTGCATCCTCCTCGTCTTTCCATCTGCATCCTCCTCGTCTCTTCATCTGCATCCTCCTCGTCTCTTCATCTGCATCCTTCTGTCTCTTCATCTGCATCCTCCTCGTCTTTCCATCTGCATCCTCCTTGTCTCTTCATCTGCATCCTCCTCGTCTCTTCATCTGCATCCTTCTTGTCTCTTCATCTGCATCCTCCTCGTCTTTCCATCTGCATCCTTCTTGTCTCTTCATCTGCATCCTCCTCGTCTCTTCATCTGCATCCTCCTTGTCTTTCCATCTGCATCCTCCTTGTCTCTCCATCTGCATCCTCCTCGTCCCTTCATCTGCATCCTCCTTTTCTCTTCATCTGCATCCTCGTCTCTTCATCTGCATCCTTCTTGTCTCTCCGTCAGCATCCTCCTCTACTTTTTATCAGCCTCCTCCTCATCTAAACGAAAAATCTAAAAACAAGTTAAGATAAGGACAGGAAAAATAATAACGTACTCCTCTAATATGAAAATTTGGAAGTATTATAAAATTCATTTTCAGGGGGGAGGGGTGGATTCCAAATTTTGTAAAAATTTTTTTTGTTATGGAAAATGTGCTCAAATGCATAAATTATAGTTTTTTGATGAAAATATGGAAATATGAAGAAATTTGTTCTCAGGAGGAGAGGGGTTGTATCCCAATTATGTAAAATTTTTTTTGTTATGGAAAATGTGTTCAAATGCATAAATTATAGTTTTTTGATGAAAATATGGAAATATGAAGAAATTCATTTTCAGGGGATAGGGGTGGTATCTCAATTTTGTAAAAATTATTATTTTTGTGGAAAATGTGTTCAAATGCATAAATTATAGTCATTTGATGAATTATGGAAATTATTTCATTGGGGAGGGTGGAATTCAATTTTGTAAAAATTTTTTTTGTTATGGTAAATGTGTTCAAATGCATAAATTATAGTCTTTTGATGAAAATTTGGAATTATTATAAAATTCATTTTCAGAGGGGAGGGGTGTATTCCAAATTTTGTAAAAATTTTTTTTGTAATGGTAAATGTGTTCAAATGCATAAATTATAGTTTTTTGATGAAAATATGGAAATATGAAGAAATTCATTTTCAGGGGGTAGGTGGTATCCCAATTTTGAAATTTTTTTGTTATGGAAAATGTGTTCAAATGCATAAATTATAGTTTTTTGATGAAAATATGGAAATATGAAGAAATTCATTTTCAGGGGGGAGGGGTGGTATCTCAATTTTGTAAAATTATTTTTTGTGGAAAATGTGTTCAAATGCATAAATTATAGTCTTTTGATGAAAATATGGAAATATGAAGAAATTCATTTTCAGGGGAGGGTGGTATCCCAATTTTGTAAAATTTTTTTTGTTATGGAAAATGTGTTCAAATGCATAAATTATAGTCTTTTGATGAAAATTTGGAATTATTATAAAATTCATTTTCAGGGGGGAGGGGTGGATTCCAAATTTTGTAAAAATTTTTTTTGTTATGGTAAATGTGTTCAAATGCATAAATTATAGTTTTTTGATGAAAATATGGAAATATGAAGAAATTCATTTTCAGGGGGGGAGGGGTGGTATCCCAATTTTGTATATATTTTTTTGTTATGGAAATGTGTTCAAATGCAAAAATTATAGTTTTTTTATGAAAATATTGAAATATGAAGAAATTCGTTTTCAGGGGGGGAGGGGTGGTATCCCAATTTTGTAAATTTTTTTTGTCATGGAAAATGTGTTCAAATGCATAAATTATAGTTTTTTGATGAAAATATGGAAATATGAAGAAATTCATTTTAAAGGGGGGAGGGGTGGTCTTCCAATTTTGTAAAAAAATTTATTTTTGTGGAAAATGTGTTCAAATGCATAAATTATAGTCTTTTGATGAAAATTTGGAATTATTATAAAATTCATTTTCAGAGGGGAGGGGTGGATTCCAAATTTTGTAAAAATTTTTTTTGTAATGGTAAATGTGTTCAAATGCATAAGTTATAGTTTTTTGATGAAAATATGAAGAAATTCATTTTCAGCGGGGGGAGGGGTGGTATCCGAATTTTGTAAAAATTTTTATTTTTGTGGAAAATGTGTTCAAATGCATAAATTATAGTTTTTTGATGAAAATATGGAAATATGAAGAAATACGTTTTCAGAGGGGGTGGGGTGGATTCCAAATTTTGTAAGAATTTTTTTTGTTATGGAAAATGTGTTCAAATGCATAAATTATAGTTTTTTGATGAAAATATGGAAATATGAAGAAATTCATTTTCAGGGGGGAGTGGTGGTATCCCAATTATGTAAAATTTTTTTTATGGAAAATGTGTTCAAATGCATAAATTATACTTTTTTGATGAAAATATGGAAATATGAAGAAATTCGTTTTCTGGGGGGGAAGGGTGGTATTCCAATTTTGTAAAATTTTTTTTGTTATGAAAAATGTGTTCAAATGCAAAAATTATAGTTTTTTGATGAAAATATGAAAATATGAAGAAATTTGTTTTCAGGGGGGGAGGGGTGGTATCCCAATTTTGTAAATGTTTTTTTCTTATGGAAAATGTGTTCAAATGCATAAATTATACTTTTTTGATGAAAATATGGAAATATGAAGAAATTCGTTTTCAGGGGGGGAGGGGTGGTATCCCAATTTTGTAAATTTTTTTTCTTATGGAAATGTGTTCAAATGCAAAAATTATACTTTTTTTATGAAAATATGGAAATATGAAGAAATTCCTCTTCAGGGGGGGAGGGGTGGTATCCCAATTTTGTAAAATTTTTTTCTTATGGAAAATGTGTTCAAATGCATAAATTGTAGTTTTTTGATGAAAATATGGAAATATGAAGAAATTCATTTTCAGGGGGGGAGGGGTGGTATCCCAATTTTGTAAAATTTTTTGTTATGGAAAATGTGTTCAAATGCATAAATTATAGTTTTTTGATGAAAATATGGAAATATGAAGAAATTCGTTTTCAGGGGGGAGGGGTGGATTCACAATTTTGTAAAATTTCTTATTTTTGTCGAAAATGTGTTCAAATGCATAAATTGTAGTCGTTTGATGAAAATTTGGAATTATTATAAAATTCATTTTCAGGGGGGAGGGGTGGATTTCAAATTTTGTAAAAAATTTTTTTGTTATCTCAATATCTCAGATGACTTGAATCATGATACCTGCTTTGTTTATGAAGTCATGAAACAAACTGTTCATTATATTAAGGATGAGATTTTCACAACACTGAGTATGGTGCATTATTTCAGCGATGGCTGTGCAGGACAATATAAGAAATATAAGAACTTTATCAACTTGTGCCTTCACGAAAAGGACTTCAATGTGAAATGTGAATGGTCATTCTTCGCTACAAGCCATGGCAAATCTCCGTGCGATGGCCTTGGAGGTACTTTGAAACGATTGACAGCAAGAGCCAGTCTACAAAGAACTCACTCGCATCCCATTTTGACAGCAAAACAAGTTTTCGAGTACTGTAATGAAGAAGTCAAAGGGGTTCATGTTATCTTTATTTCAGCAGAGGAGATGGTTCCTATCAGGAGCATGTTGGAGACAAGGTATAGCACTGCAACTACTCTTCCTGGCACAAGAGGCTTTCATCACTTTACCCCCCTCTCTGAAAGTGTTATGGCTGCTAAACGTGTTTCGGAAGATGAATTGTATGCCTTAGAGTTTAATCTAGTGTTGGGAAAGACAAACTTAGTGAAGCTGGCAGATCCAAACATGTCTGACTTTATTGTTTGCTCATATGAGGAGAAACTTTGGGTTGGACTTGTTGATGTAGTAGATAAGGAACATGATGATGTTCAAGTCAAGTTTATGCATCCAAGCTACCCAGCAAGATCCTTCTTCTGGCCAAGGAAAGATGAGGTATGTTTTGTACCAATTATGAATGTGTTGTGCATCATTGAGGCACCAGTAACAGTAACAGGAAGACAATACAAGTTGAGTGACAAAGACATATCCACAATTGAACAAGCACTTGCTGAATAACTCGGATAGCATGTAACATAACTTGAAAAGTACAGTACAGTACTGAACAATATATTAACATTATTGAAGATCAAATAACAACTTCTAAAGGTGATGATTGCAAATGCTGGATATGACAGTTCCATAAAATTAAGAATTTACATAGGATTTCAACCATATATTTGTTGGCATATTTTTCAGCAAGAAGAGACACCAAGCCAAAACTTAGTGAAATTATTCCTCATTATATATTCATATACCACACCAAAAATGGGTTTGGTCCTACATTGCCAACATGGGTAATTTTCGGTTTGTAATTTGATCCTTTTTATGGTTTCGGGATATATATATACCATTGTTTAACATAGAAAATATGCATTTCTTTTCAATTAATGATATTTTTGAACTCATATTCTGATTCAGCATGTCTTAAAATGGTATATCACCAGTTTTCCTGTATATAGAGTTAAAGGATAGGAAACGACAGTTGAAATACCATACATTTTAGTGTACCATTCATAAAGAATGCTATAACCGACACCGATATTGGTGGAAAATTGAAAAACCGATATCTCAGGAACAAATAAAGATATTGAGCTCAAATTTGGTGTGCTTTCATATCTCACTTATACTTCCAATTGGTGCAATTTTGGTTAAAATCTGGGATGGGTGGGTGACATTTTGAATTTCTATTTGTTGATTTCACATGGAATGACCTTTAAAGTGCTTATCTCACAATTTTTTTTTCGAATTTTCTGATTGAGGTAAAAAAATCATTGTAAAAGTTACTTTACAATTTTCTGATTGATGGCTTCGTTTATGAGATAAATGCGTTTCTTTTCTCAAAATCGGCAATAATGGAGAAAATTGCTGCGCGTTCAATTTGCTTGATGAGAGCCTGAATCGAGAAGTATGTGACGTAACATAAGGACAGGAAGTTTTTGCTGAAGTGTGACTTTTGCTATAATTTCTACTTTATTTACTACGGCTCTGCATCAAAATGCCTGATAGATGTGCAGTTTTCGGCTGTTCAAACCGAGCAAATTCTGCGGAAAGAATTTCTCTTCACAACATACCATTTTACGGTGATGAGCGTCCTAAAGCGAAGCGAAGACGTAAAATCTGGGTGAATTTTGTTGCAAGAAAACGCGCTCGATGGACACCGACTAAGTATTCGGCTGTTTATTATTGTGATGGCAAAGTAATTTGGGCAAAGTTCAAATCTTTCCTGAGTCACATAGTAGACAAGCACACCAATTTGGATAATCCACTGTTTTCAAGTTGTTTTCATGGCCCTGATATTAAACCAAGGGAATATTTGTTAGAAGGTTTGTGAAGGCATTATTTTAAAGATAACTTCCCTAACAGTTTATCATCATTCTTAATTGTAATGTTTAAGGTTCAGTTGCTCATGAAAAGCTTAGTGCTAAATTGTTAAACCCACAGCTGATGAAGTCAATTCACCAGGCTTCACCAGTTGCTCAAACAAGTTGTTTGGAAGGATTCCTTTCTGTCCTGAATCATTTTGCTCCAAAAATGATTCATTATTCCTATGTTGGAATGTATTGCAGGTGGGCGAAAATTTCCAATATGACAATGTTAGTTGTTTTGCAACTTCCTCAAGTCTTTATTGTTTAAGACACATTTTGGCATCCATCCACTTCAACAACAACTTAAGGCGTGATGTAAAGATGAAGAATGATGGCACTTTCCAAATAAATGTGGTGTATCCAAAGTTTAAAAATGGTGAAGGAACTGTGAGGGATGTCAGAGTTAAGCCCAAATTTGGTAAGTTGTTGCTAAATGTGTTGCTTTGCATCATTTCATAGTATTGAATACGACAATAATTTCTTTATAGAGTATGTGGATGAATTATTTGAGAGTGTGATGCTGTCAATAAAAGACAAAGACGCATTATCAAATTCACAAAATCTTTTGAAAGAAATGTCCCCACCATCAATGAATGTCATGCTGCAAAAGCAACCCAGAGCTGAGGTGCTACTAAAACAGGTCCGTTGAAAATGCATTGTGGTCAATGATGTCCCTCCCTCAATTCCAGGTAATTAATAATGATTATATAAGATGTGGTAGCTAAACATGGTTTGAAAATCATTTTAAATAATGAAAATGTTTTGTTTCATGCCAGCAGCTACCAGTGTGCCATTCAGCTGTCAGTCAAAAGTGGCAGTTTCAAAAGAAAAAAGTCAGCCAAAATGTTTGACATGCAAGAAGCCAATGAAAGGTCACAAACATGTGGCAGAGTGCCCAAAAAATAGGAAAACTTAATTTTCACATCACTCATTTATTTCATTTTCTTCGTACCCTCTAAATTCCAACTTTTTATCATTAAATTTTGATCTTATTGCATGGTATGCACATGCTGGTAATGGTCTTCTTTCTTCTCCTAAGCATCCATAAATCATAGATGTGAATTCTCTGTATGCAACACATCGTAAAAACCTGAATATAAAGCCAAATCATTACTAATGTGTCATAACACTAAAATATACTTAAATACTGGGAAATAACATAATATGCTATCATACATGTTTTCAGATTCTGTTTCTCTGTATCGTCTTTGTTCTCTGGTTTTGTATTTCCTAGCAGCCATTTTTAGCGACCACTTTTCCAAACAAACTGGTCTGAAACCTGGGTGTAGAGTGACACAACATGGAATAGTTGACAGATCTGCCAGAACCAACTGGTGTGTTAAGCTTTCAGCTACAGACTTAAAGTGGTTATATCACGAATTTTAGCCCCCCTTTTTTATGAGCTAAATTGAAAGACCTTGTTTCAGTGATTTTAAATCTGCAATTATAATTGAAATTGGATTGGTGAAAGTGATTTTACGGACGTTCAAAGTCACGATTTTCAGCATTTTTTTTGCGAACTTTTTGATCGGTATGCTAATGACTTGTGACGTAGAAAGTTGAACACATTTATCAACATGGCGTATTCTACTAGTAATCTTAATAAGAAACGCGGAGGAAAACGCTGTGTTGCTGGCGGACCTAATGAAATTAGTTGCGCCAATGATTCAAAAACCGAAGGAATGTCGATGCATCTGTTTCCTAAAAAAGAAACAGAGCCGCAAAGACATAGAAAATGGGTAAATTTTGTGCGTAAACATAGACCGGGTTTTGAGGCTTCCTCTACCTCGTGTCTGTGTTCTGCGCATTTTGAAGATTCTTGTTTTGACCTTAATTTGAGCGTGTAAGTCAAGCTCAAAAGAAGGATGAAGAAAGATGCTATCCCAACCATTGACGTGGCTGGGATTCCTGAACCATTACAGGACGAAATAACCGATCGAAAGCGAAGACAAGTAAGTTTACGCTTGTTTATGTTAATTTTTCTTTTGTCATACGTAAATTCGATATAAGTTTTGTAGATTATTCGACATACTCTCCATAAGCCATCGCTGAAGGAAACATGTTCTCTCAATGAGGAAGTACCATCTACTAGTGATGAAGCTGAGCATGTTTAAGTATGCACTGGGGAAGCAAACGATTCGCCATTTGAACGCCTTGCTATTTTCCATTTTTACATTTATGCTATGATTCAATTCCATATATTTTTCTTTTGTCTTTTTCCCAGACTGACATTGAAGAAAAGATATTCTTTCATTTAATTCTTTCAGCTTAACCTCTCAGTAGTTGCACCAATTTGTTTTATTGTTTACTCTTGTTTCAAACCATTAAACTGCATGTCAACTTATATAGTGCATCCATGTATCTCCTATTTGGTTTTCATCTAGGCATATTTCCTGACCATTCCAAACTCAGCAAATAAGGTCAACAGTCTCTACAGTGCACAAGTTAGAAGACTATTCCATCATCGCCCCTCTGATGGTATGTAACCTGTTGTGTTAACACTTGGATATGCTTTCCGAATAAAGTGGTAAACACAAGCAGGTAAAGGCCGAGTATTCTCCCATCCCATAGACCCACAAAACCATCGCATCAACCATCTGTATGTCACAGCTCTCAAGTACCTGTAGTAAATAAAAAGGTTGGACTAATTATTGTTGATGAAACAATGTTGATGATAACATTGTTTCTCATACAATTTACAATCTTACATATTTAATGATTGTGATGCTTGGCTGTGATAAGCACATCCATTCCTATCTCTCAATAGTGGCCCGACGTTTTCAAGGACAGCCTCATGAACTAAAGGCCCAAATTTGGCATGCTGTGTTATGCATGATATTTTCTCAATGCTGCCATCGAATGTCATTTTCTGCAAAGCTGGTCCATTTCCTTACAGCATCTGTACTCTAATGCGCCTTCTAACAAATCGGTATGACAGCATTGACAATTACACCTGAAACGTGGGAGCATTCTGGTTTATAAAGTAACTTTATGTATATTACAAACAGGAGAAAACAACAACTTACCATTCACCAAGTGGAATTACGCCATCACTTCGTTGTTCTAATGTCGCAGGGAGAATTCCATCGGGATCATCTGGAGTATGCACTTCATCACCATCTCCTGCTAGCGGTTCATCGCCATATGCGAAGTCGTTTAAATGCTCGACATAACCCACAGATTCCGAGCTCGAATCAGATACGCATTCAGACATCGAATTCAATTATCTGAGCACTGATTTGAGGCCATACTTTCCGAAAACTTGTTTTTAATATTTTATTGAAAATACTGTCATTATTTGTTTTAAGACAAGAAAAACGACAACAAAATCACCTTCTATAATATAATATTATATTGCAAGAAAATGGGTTTCCATATTAAATCATGTTGTCAATAAGCACAAGTGGAAGGAGGAAAATACTTTAAAAGTGCGCCCATGGTCGTCTTTCTGAAAAAAAAGAAAAAAACAAAGTGGTTAGAAAATGGCTCTGCTGCTCATGTTGCTTTAGAAGAAATCGTACTTAACAAAAACTATTAAAAGACTTAACAAAGCTAACAGAATTTCACCACACTGGGGAACTTGAGGTTTACCACTCACTTCTCCTGAAATACTTACCCAACGTCTTCACTTTTCGTACAAAGGTATGCTTGCAAGAACCAAGTTGGCAGTGATAGACCACAATGTAAACACTGGCAGAAAACAAGCACAAGTTCAATGTGGAAGCAGCAAAGGGAAAAGCGATATAATATCGTGTTCCCAAAAGGAAAAAATTGCAGCCAAACCAATTATGGCGAGTAAGTCGTATTCTTTGTGCAAGGTATGATGGAAGATGTCTGCTGTTTTAATGTAAAAATGTACATAACAAGATTTCTTTACCAGCAAACATTCCAAGAAATATTGCATCTATAGAAAAGCCAAACAAAGAAAGTGTTATACAAGCACACAAATCAAGAATGGGTAAATAGTCCCCAAAATATATTCATAATGTATATATCAATATTTATAATTAATAATAAGAGAATCTCTAATAGTAAAGTAGCCCAAATTTTTGTTTTGATATGCAAATTCATTAGAAAAGGCACTTTTCAATTATGTACACCAAAATCCTTGCATAGCACAAATAAAGAATTGGTTTGGCTTGGCCATTATAATTTGTATTTATTGTTCATTTACTAAATCCAATTTATATTTTTATTTATTAGTAATTCATTAACGATACTTATAAATATAGCTATAATAATTTACATTACCATTATTATTCATCACCAAATTTAAAACCCTCAAAGACAAAGTCTTCTTCTAGACCTGGTGGTGGGAAATGTGCTCGAATGCAGCTAACAGCACAAGATGGTAGTGGTACTCTAATTTCCTTGCCCAATACATTCCAACACCATCGAACCAGTTGCCTGTAACACATGTCTTTGTCTTTTGTGTTCAGGTCCTTCTTCAGCTCTTGAACCATAGTGTTGTTTGTACTCACTCCATGCCAGTCGTAATACCCAATAATTTAAACAAAGATTTCGAAAAACAGGATTATCTGTAATACAGTCTGGAGTATCTATTCCCTCAAATTGTGCTGAGTCTTCATTCACTGTTACAACAGCTGAAATTTCTTTGCAACAAACACATTCTTCCACTCTATCCATGATTTGACAATGGCTACATGTGCACCTATTCCGGTAAAATAGCAACTAAATAATCATTTTATATCAAAATATTTAAAGGTTGAAAACTCAAGCGTAATGTGATATTCGAAATACGCGTAACATAATTCGGCAGCGTAATTCGTGCGATGAAACATGTAAAAACAAAAACGACATAAATTGCAGAAACGAGTAAAATAATAGTATTTACCAGAATTTATCCTGAAGTCTGTTTGGTTCCGATACGGATTCAGTCGATGATGCAGCGGCAACTTCGTCGGAGTCGTCCATAGGCTCGTCGCTAGAGTCTGTTTCAATCGGTTCATAGGCATATGGTTGAATCATGTTTTGATCGTTAACCATTTCTTCGTAGTTTGAAACACTGCTTCCAGAATAATTACTAGAGGAATCGTTTGAGTAATCCGTATCCATTGCGCAAAATAATTTAAAAACTTACAAAATAAAATGCAACTATGAATATGCTATGCGTAATATCTACTTTTGCTAGTATATTTTGTCTTATGTTGACAACGATCACCGCGCAGTGACGTCACGACGAAAAACGCTGCTGGACTGCGGCTTCGCTTGCATGTACACAATGGCGATCGAACAAGAGGCAAAATACACATTTAAAGGCATTATTTCTCGAGTTAAATTTAATTGGAAACCTAGGATTTCGAGAGAGGTAAGAACAATATATACTTTCATATGAGCGAAAGTTGTGTTAAGGCCTGACTACTTTAAGTTCTTGGCAGCACCAGGCCTCTAGAGGATTCTGAAGAAGTGTAACTTGACAAAACCACACTTGCACCTGATAAATAGAAAATCACATTAAAAATATGTAATCAGCATCTTTTAACCATTTTTACCCAAAAGTAAATAAAAAAAGCGATGGTAATCTTGAATAGAAAATTGCACGTTTATGTCTATATTTCATAACTTGAAACCTGAATTGAAATACATTTCATAAGTTGAATTGAAATTAGAAATTTTATTACTCACCAAGAACTCAACTCAACTGTGTGATCAAGTCTTTTTTGTAGCATTTCAAGTTGCTTTTTATGTTCATTTGACTTTTCCACGTAGTCTTCATACCATGCTTGTTCGGCCATTGGTTCATCAGCGTATAGATAGGACTCGGACTCGCCGTGATTTTCATCTATTATATTATATTCCTGGTCATGAATGTTCCTTGTTTCATCTTCGATGACATAACCGGAATATAATCATACTCGAATCACATTGCGAACTATGAGAGCTTTCCGAATCAGAATTCAACTCCGCCATCTAATCGTTGATAACAAGCGCTTGACTTGTTCCTTAAGTTACGTCACAGAGACTTGATCCAGGCCCTATGCCAATTATCAACTTTTACTGTCAAATTTCATATTTAATCAATAATAATTCGAAAACAATGCAGCGCATGAAAAATTGTAATATAAGTTTTAGATTACTTTTGAAGCAATACGAAAATTCGAAAAAATAAATTGTGAGATAAGCACTTTAACGGTGTGCTGTCAACTTTGCACAAAACAACTTTGTACTGTAAATAATTTGATGACGATAGATTTTAGTAAGACTTGTGAGTGTTCAATAAAATTGTTGAAAGATACAGTCCTTTGGTGATGTTTGAAACTAGATACATATTGAATGTTCATTATAAGATAAGTGCAGCCTTTCTTAAACTAAATATTCACCTGTGATAAATCACCCAAATCGTTCCATGCATTCCATTTTGCGTTTCCAACAAAGTCCAAAGTCCCAGGCTTTGGTGTATTACATTTGCCTAAAGAACCCTGGAAATGTATATTGTTATTTGGGTTCGTCTTATTTTTAAATTTGATTGTATTGTATGGTGGGACTGTGAACAGTTATAATTGAAAAAAATTCACTGTGCCTTTGCAAAAATGTGATTCAAATGCAATGATGCACATTGTGCATTAAAAATGTAAAGTCACCATTTAATTTAATTGAAGAGCTTGTAGGTAGGAGATACAACAACTAATGTTCAAGCTTTATGTAAAAACCGGATACAATATCTTTATGAATCGTAAAATACCTGCTTAAAAAGGGCGTACATCTTTAACTTCAATTCATTCCCTGGATCTTGTGTTAAAGATCCTACTTTGTCTTTTGCTTCTTTAAACTGGTGAGAGATTGCAGAGAACTTCGAACCATCTTCGTAAAAATGTTCAGGTTTAAATAAGGTCGAGATAGATAGTTCACTATACCACGACGAAAAATTGCATGTGATTTACAAACTCTTGGCGTCACGTTCATTTGCTATAATAAAATTTACAATGAATATTTTTTTATTATTGATTGAACTTGGGACGAATAAGAAAATTGATATCTAGAAATGACATGAATGAAAGGCAAAAGTAAATCAAACATGTGACTATTTTTGACCAATGACATTAGGATGTTGATAGTGGTTACAATAGAGTCCTTAAGTGTGACGTCACGTTACCATGGCGCTAAAAAATGCAGTTCTAAACAAAATATCTTATGCGAGCGATTTGGACACGCTTTTTGTTTTGAATGTCTAAAGCTTTAGTTATCCAGTGTAATCCCACAAAGACAATAAAAAATAGGAAAGGTTAAAGGGTCATCCAAGGGATCAACTTTCGTCGATGAAGTGTAAAGGACGCGGTCAAACGGGCAAAATGGTTTACTGTTTGCTCCTACATGTGGCCATTCGTCGGAGGGCAACACTTGCAAGTTCTTCGCTTTTCCAAGCGACGAGTACAAGAGATGGATTCGACTCATAAGGTATGAACTGATATTCAAAAAGAATTCCTTAATCGGTTTAGAATTTGATGAATTACGTGATTTTAAGTGAGATTTACGGAATCTATTCAGGTGAAGAGTTGACATCAGGACATGAGAGAGAATCATCGAATACTGAATTATAGAAGCTTCAGCTAGTTGTCTTTTTAACGATCGCTTTGTATTTTCCGTAGCCAAAACCTTAAATCTTAGTGCTTTGGAAGGTATAATCCATCAATTTTGAGGATCAAATTTTTTTCACTTTAATGAAAGTACGACAGAACAACACACAGCTTTACCTAGCCCAATTGTTTCATTGTAGTGTGGCCAATTTCTAACATTGTTATTACATTAACTCATGTTTGCATGAAATTTTGTTTGACGACCTAATGACGTCAATTCCATCCGGAAAAAACAAGATCTCTGCACTCGCCTTTTTCAGGCAATTTGAATCATGTCGGATTGTTATAGACTGCACAGATATTGAGGTTGCTGCACTAGGATTGATGAGTCAGCAAAATGCAACCTATTTATCATACAGAGGAATGAATTCCTTTAAGGTAATAGTTGGTGTTGCACCAAATGGAGTCATTACTAATGTCAGTCGGCTGTATCCAGGTTCTATTTCAGACAAGGCCATTGTGCAACAGTCTGGACTCCTTAATCACTTGACAGCTGGAGATATGATTCTGGCGGACAAGGGTTTCCTTATCAAGGATGTTGTACCACATGGTGTCTGTGTCAATATCCCACCTAATATTCTAATATAATAGTAAAGAGATGATTTTACCTCATAGGGATTACAATATTTATCATCTGGTAAAGCCTGGGTGTACACGTGTTATGCAGTAGCATATTGCTGATTTGCTTTAATATTAGAAACATTTGTGATTTGTGTAGTTGTACAAAGGGCAAACCAGTGTTGTGTTGCAAATTTTTTAAGCAAGAAAACTCAGCACTCTAAAGGCATCATCAACAAGCTGTAAGTACAATGCTAACAGAATGAATACTAAAGAACAAAAATTCCAAATTTTTTGATATTTATCATGACATCATACAAAGCCAAATCAAATTATCTAATCTACAACAAGCAGTAAATAGTTCATTTCCAAACTTGAGTATATCATGATGTTCAGGTATAAATAGTAAAAAGATAATCATAGTTTACAATGATCTACTGTTGGTTCTACATATAAGTATACAATAAAATATGTTATATCAACTGTTCTTGGGTATAACACCAGTTGGTTATAAGATTAAAGGTTGCTGAGATCTACAACAACTTAAGAAATTACCTTTCAACTATTGGCTCAATCTTCAATTCTGCCATATCATGGTTGCCATCTTACTGCCAAGCTCATTTCCCTTTTGGATCAGTTGATGAGCTTTAAGAAAAATCACGCCTAAGATTGATGATGGATGCCCAATTTGGTTGGCCAATTCTCGTTTCTTTATGCAAATTTGTTCAACACCTTGAGATAATGTGTTATTTTCAATAGAACCATTTAGGGAAACAGGCCCTCTGATGTAATCACATTGTCTTATGTGTAAGAACAAATTCTTAGGTAAATTACCAATACCATGGCTACCAGAGCGAAAATACTCAACAATCAATTTCCAATCTTTGTCTTTTTCAGCACTGGATAAATCAATTCCTTTAAACTTGCTCAGTTTTTGAGGACTCACATCAAACATGATAATAGCTGGATGTGTACTGCTCAATCCATATTGCTCTAATGAGAACTTTGCATCATTTACCATGTAGAAACCTTCTCCATCAGAGAAGTCTGATTTGTCTCGACCAAAACCCAGCTCAATTCTGTCTTCCAGAATATCCACAACACTTTTGTGATCAGTACAATGGAAATACACTTTTGTCTCAGGATTTTTTTTATTTAGTTCAGCAACTTCTGATTCAACATGGCATAGAGCATCTTCTTGCGATTCAACATTGATCATATTTACAGGATGACTATATCTTCCCTCTTCATCAAAACGTGAGAAATTCTCAGTAAACCATCCATTTTGATTATCATTTTTGAAAGGAAAATCCATAACTTGATCATTTAAGAAGATATCATACTTAAAATCATTTTCAATGTAAATTTCCACCCAGGATAAAATTTGTTTGTGATTTGGATCTGACATGTTGGTTATCCATTTAGCAATAAATTGAGATCGATGCTTTGTAAAACCAATCTTGCATAAGATTTCAGCAACCTCTTTACTATCTCTGAGATTTTCTATGCTGTCTTCTTCCTCAAACTCCTTCAAGAACCTTAGCAAATTTTCCTTTTCACTTTTGTGTTTTCTCATGTAAGGACTTAGTTTGGAAAGCCTGAAAGCAAACTCAACTTTCAAACCAAGCACTGAGCACAGAATATTTTCTGGGGTGATATTCGAGTCAAAGAGATCATTTATCTCAGGATGGTTTAGATTGGAAATGGTACTTTTTATATTTTCACAGCATTTGTAAGATTTTCACGATTCAGATCATCTCTTATTTCTTTCTTGATGCCACAACAATTGTTGTAGTTAAGATATGTTTCATCCAGAAGCTTGGTTAAATTGTCGAGATGTACTTTTAGATCATTCAGTTGATTTATCTTTTCATAAGTGAGTTTGCCTTTATCAGACAATGTCTTTACCTTGTCCAACAAGATACAACAAAATACAAGACACTGATGAAGAAAACAAACTGAACGAATTAAGTGGCATCCAGGTCTGCCAGCACTTCTTTCTATATCTAGCTTCATGCAAAGGATACTTAATTCGACTTGCCATTTGCTAAGAACAGTCACAAATTTCTCAACATCTTCATTGTTTTTAGCAGTTCGCTTTTCCTTGATTTTACCAATCTTTGATGTGAAATGTTTACGAAGGATAGGATAATGTTTATGCATGACTGCCAATGATTGCATATTTATTCATACTAAGAACGAAGAGCGGACAAAAACATAAACATGAAGTTACACTTAAACATTTGACACAAATCTATGTTTAAAGTTCTTACCAAAAACATACAAAACTATTTTAAACTTTAGATATAAAACAATACTACCCAACAATAATAAGAACTGCAGAATTTTCAAGCTAAATATAAATTCATACAACGTCGTCATATTACCGTAAGGCAACGAAATTATAAAACTCGCCTCTGAACGTTTACTTATAAGAATCAAAAAGCTTAAAACATAAAGGATAAATGCTTTCAAGAAAATAACACATTACATATATAACTTAGTATTTTACGATAAAAAATTTTCTCTTTACGGAAGTTAGGCCAGGAACAGCAAAAGTATTTAAGAATAGGAACATTTCAGGTATTTCAACAATGTTGAGTTCACTAACAACCCTTTTCGCAAATTAGCACGACTTTTTGAGAAACTAAACGTTTAACAGCGTACAGACATAAAATAGAATCAAAATATAACAACAAGACAAAAACGCTAGTTTAGATTTTAAGTACAAACGTAACAACAAACATTGGCAATACTGATATGACATTTAAGAAATACATTTAAGCTCACTTACGTATCAGGAAAAACAAGAAATTGTCCCCATTATTCACCATCCATACGACACTAACACCGTACTTTAGTTCATGACTCGTCCGATAAGTTATAAACTTTTTACTTATATAAGCAATAAAACAAAATTCGTGGGAAAAATGATATTGTTATATTGATCCGCGAGGATTCGTGGGATAGATGCGTTTGTTTGGTCACCTGACTAAGTCGTTGCCAAATTGCCATTGGGTAATCATTTATTAGTATGGTAATTTCCAAACAGGTAAATGAATAATATAATAATTTCTACACCGTATTTAAGATTGAAAGAAATCGAATCTTTTAAACCGAAAAAGGCACAAAGATTCATTTAATTTCAAAAGGTACGCAGTATCGTTTGATAAGTGTTGTTAATCGCTTTTGGGTGACTTTAGAAAAATACGCTATTTATGGAAGTTTAAATATCGTGTGGTTTTAGTATCGTTGTAGGTTTCTGTATGTTGTTGTCTGGCGATTTAAATGGATGTTTTCTGCTTTACGTTTTGATAATTTTGTCTAAAAATGTCGAGGAAAAGAGTTGCGTTTCAATTTAGCTGGTAGATATAGGTACTCAACGGTAGTAAATCATTCGGCTGGTATGGCAAGCCATTTCGGAAAAAGGTGGTCGAGAAAAATCTCCGTTGAGAAAGCAAACCGATGTTGAGAAACACGTGTTTATCATTGAGAATTTGCAGATGGTAGTTCAGAAAAGCAAATATATTGTGAGAAAAATTCGGTCGAGAAAAAACCAGTGCACGCACTACCTAAAGATTGGACATGAGGCAGACGAGGGCTGTCATGTAGCACTATTTGGTACTAATATGAATTTGGCACTACTTTCAACAGCATAATCATCAGCACAATTCATCACCGCATTCAACTGAAATTTATTGATAAAAACAATAAAGCAATAAAGTCCTGTTGAGGGACTTACTCCCCTTTCTCTGCCTGGTCTATTTTGAATGATAAATTTTAGTTGAATATGATGATGATTATTGTGATGACTGTTGTGTTGAATGTGGTGCCCATATGTGGGTGCCCATCGTGGTGCCAAATTCACAGTAGCAATTGTAAGATGATGCGAATGCGAGTAACGGGTCACCAGGAGCAGGTCAACTTATTAACAACATTTTAGCTCAAGTCGAAGAATTGTCAGAAGTTATTTCACCATGTCGTGAAAACTCTGAATTATCGTCTATAAACGAGGAAGTGGCACGATCTTTTAATCGCGGAGGCCGAAGACACGACATAAATTTACAACAATCAACAGCAATGTCGAGCACAGGTACCAGTTTGCCACCGTTTCGTCCATAGAACCAAGGCAATATTTTCTGCTATGAAGTATAACAAGCGAATTTTGAACAGCAGCAGCTCCTCAAGGAAAAAGCAATCAAAAATGAAGAAGGGGCCAAGTGGTCCTTTCATACGAGACATAGTCCTTTTGTCAGGGCCAAATGTAAACGTTGTCCCCCGCCAAAGCGCAAGAGTCAATCTAATGGAAAATGGTCATATTATTTTAGGCTTCCAGCTGATGAAAGAATGGAAGGGATATGAAGTAGAGATGCATGTGAGAAATGCGTTTGGTGACAAACTAAAAGATCACAATATAGATATTGAAATCGTAATGTCGGTCCACAATACATTGCATCCACCCTGTCTTGCACCGAACCAAACCTTAAATGGCTTCATGGTGCACAAAGTGTTGAAAGATAAACCAATTTATGTCAGGCTATCAGTACAGATATTGGAACCATTAAGCAACAGAATCAACAAACCTGAACATTTGAATGATCAAGAGGAGCTGTGTATTGTGCAGGTATGCTTGTCTTGTCTGCCTTTTCATTTTCTCAAATACATTCTGCTAGAAATAAATTTATGAATTAGTCATTAAACATCATTTTTTATTGTTTGACCTTTTTTTCAACATTTTTTCGTTGTAAAAGAAGAATCATGATAATTTTTTATTTTCATATGTAATAGGATGACTCAAGTGATGATGAGTTTCTAAGATCTGCGTTTACTAATGAACCTCCTTGCATATCTTCATATCAACATCCTGGAGTTGAGGAACGCAGTGAAGTGGAAGTGACTAATAATCCACCTGCTGTCCAAGAAACCTCTTTGCCATCTGTTGGTACTATTTCAGACTGTTCTCACAACAATGGAAATGTTCAGAACGAAGTTCAACCAGAAGATCCAAATTCTGTTGATATGTCCAATATTTCTGGTATGTTTGTTAAAACATTATTTTGCATCAAAATGAGGTTTAAGTGATTTTGTTATTTGTGATATTTACATCATAAGGTTCTACTACTGAAGATTTTGCTGTCACACATGTTTAATGAGTTATTGTTGAATTCATTTTGTTATTTGCAAATCAGTCTTTAGACCTTGGATAGACCTTTACTACATGTTTTTTCAAATTAAGCATTCCGCCCTTAATGGTGCATTATTGCTTAAGCCAGAGAAAAAACATAGAGCAGGAGTACTCTTTTTAACAGTATTCTTTTCTTTTAAAGCTGTTGAAAGTTCATCAGAAATGCTTTTGGAAAATGAAAATCTGTCAACCCTTTTGGAAAGTGAAAATCTTCCAACAAGTAACATTGTGATACACCAATCAAATCTTAAGCATAACATGATTGATGAATTTTGTGATGAAGAAATTTTAAATTCAATAGTTACAGTTAAAGTTATTGATGACAGAGGGCAAATGGAGAAAGGTGAAGGGCGGAGTATTTAGAGATATACTTACAGGGTTTTGGCAGGAATTCCTATTGCAAGGGTATCTCTATCTCCTATCCAGCTCTCACCTGCTTTTATATCTGTGTGCTTGTTTGGTTAATCTTGCATTACTAAAGCATTTCTTTGGAATCTTTTAAGGCATTTTGTCAGTCAGTGAGCAAGAAATAGTTAATGAAGTAGTTAGTGGGAATATGAGCCCCTTGATGATGATGTTATGGAATTTTTAAGTAGCTATCAATGTTTTACCACTCCCAGTGAAAAATATTGAAAATATTATTTGGCAGTTAGCTCATAAAGAGATCATCCAAAGCCCGTTATATTGCAAACTGCTGGACCTCAATCTTATCCTTGCTAAAAAGATACATGCCATTTCAGTCACTTGAAAATTTGGTCTCGCTATATATTGAGAAAAAACCTAATGCGAAGAAAGTTGTGAACTTCTTGATGCCCATCCTAATACAGATGCAGAAAGGGCATGCTTAGATCACCTGAAAAGATTTATAAGGTCCATTGAAGGAAATATTGGTACTTTTTTGCAGTTTACAACAGGAAGTAATGTACTGGTTTGCGACAAAATAAGCATTTCTTTCAATAAATTGGAAGGCTTAGGCAGACGTCCTGTTTCACATACATGCACTACTACTCTTGAAATTCCCAGCACATATCAAAGCTATAATGAACTTTCAGAGGACTTCTCAAACTTGCTGAGTAATAAAAATGCTTGGGCTTTGACATTGTTTAAAATATTAAGCATTACATTAAATGTTATTGCTCCATAAACTTAAAACTTGTTCTTTTTGTTATGTTAAAATTTATTTTATAAAGACCAGAATTTTATTCAGGACTGTTACAGAGGAAGACATTTTAAAATATTGTTGTATCTTATATATAAATGAACTTTATCAAACAGGCTGGTTTTTCTTGTTCTTTTTCTTATGTTGTGTTTTCTAAGTTTCCAATCAACTTTTTTCTATCACCATCACAAAATGTCAGTAAGTGTTTGTAATGCTGCACAATAGAAATTGATGCCATAATTACCATCATTTGCCACTGCATTTGGAACAGTATTGTGGACAATGGACCACTGTTCAGGTGACAAAATAATTCTGCCCTCTGGGACAACAATGTTGTTATCTGTTTCAATGTCAGGAATATCTCCATCGAAGTCCACTCCATAAAATGTAAAGTCTGTAACAAGCTCATCCACTTGGTTGGGAATATTGCCAGAGTACCACAGTGTCATTGGTGACCTATGACCCATTGTTCTAAGTCCATGGTAGTTCCACTGACTTTCAAATTCTCGGAGTGATGCATTTATTCTAGGCAAGAACACTATCTCAAGAGCCAACAAATGTGCTTCATTATCTACATCCAGTAAACCACTATTTTCCATTGTAATAAACACGTCCTTGTATAAAGCTCCCAGTACTCTATTCACTTCTCGCCACAACCGTTCAATACGTTGTTTGTGAACACTGGTACCTGCAATAAAGCTTCCTCTTCCTGTGCCTCGAGTTGTAATCATGAACTTTGCAATCTCAACGTTTTCCACTCCGCAGTCTGCTCGAACACGTGAAGGAACACCAAATTTTTCATTACCTTCGATAAAGAACTGTACAGCAGTAGTTGCTAAGTTGTTAGTAGAACATTTTAAATAAATGATAGCTCGACTGTAGCCATCTATACAACCGTGAACTACAAACCTCCACTGTATAAGTTTGTGGTTGGTATCAACGTGCCATAACTCATTTGAAGCAGCCACATTGTACATTCTTCTTTGGATAGTAACACGCTTTCTTACAGCCCTTCCAACAGGATCAAGTAAACGAAGGCATTCTCTCACTCTGTACCTTTGTACAAAAGTTTGACGAGCAACTAAGCCTCCTCGAATATAAGTTTCGCCAGCATATGGAGTTTGCTGTAGTATACTTTCTATAACTGATTTCAATTCGGCGTCAGTGATTTCAGAAAATTTTTGCGATATGTTTAGCTCTTGGCGGTAGTTGTACAGTGTCCTTTCGTTTATACCCAGCGTTTCTGCGATTGATTTCCAATTCATACCCGTTTCTCGTAATGTTTCTATTTGCTCTTTAGAAACAACATATTTAGGCCTTCCACCAGTGAACTGTCGACTCAAAGTTAACCTATTATATGGAAGTTGTTCACGACATTGCGACTGCACTTCACTAACAAGGATGTGTAACTCTCTGACTAAATTCTCAAATAAACTCTTTAACTCTTCGTGGCCAAATTTGGATTCAATAACTGATTGAAGAGCAAAAACAACGTGAAAATGTCCCTCTAACTTTCTACATACATATTCTTTCGCGTTGGCATCTTCACTATCACGACACAATAACTAAACAAGACTGTAGGGAAGTAAAAACGCTATAATATCTTGAACATCCGCCATTACGCCATTCGTAGTATATCAGAGCGCTGCTTGAAGTTGCAAAGAACAGTACTATGAACCATGGTATAACTATAAATTATGCTGTTACGACTGGCATTTTATTTCTAGACCGAGATTTTTTCTCGACCGAGATTTTCTCGACCGGGATTTTTTTCTCGACCGGGAATTTTTTCTCACAATATATTTGCTTTACTGAACTGCCATCTGCAAATTCTCAATGATAAACACGTGTTTCTCAACATCGGTTTGCTTTCTCAACGGAGATTTTTTTCTCGACCACCTTTTTTCCGAAATGGCTTGCCATAGGCTGGTGTAATTAAGATTTTTGAAATGTAGACTTCAGCGAGTCTACTTTAGTGTTGTGAAAACATTACCAGACGAAATCGAAAAATACGAGCCGGTCGATATTAGAGAGCTTTAGCAAGAGTACGACTACGACGAGTACGAAGTTTGACCGTGTAAGGGAATGGCACGAGGAAGTTTTTTGTCGTCGCTTCGTCAAAATTTTGTTTTAGCTATAAACAACAGAACGAGCCTTTTTATTGTGAAAACACTGACGTTTGCGAAGCATCTACGGCTCCATTTGTTAATAATGATATCAACAAATCGGTAATACTGATTTTGCAAGAAGGTAGGACTCTTTAGACTGAAAAACTTCACTATTTTAAGTTTTATGTACGATATATTTGTACTATTTTATTGTTTGTTTACCGTTCACTTTTTCGTACTGCGTACGAAATACATAAAAGTTCTCAAGGTCGTATTTTCCTCTTAAATGAACATATGCGCTCAAAAAAGGCTCTAAATTAAAGCCTGGATGCTCAAAAATAGTACTGTAAACTAATTTCTTACAGAATGAAGAAATGTACCTACTTTCTTTGCTTTAAAAGACATCGTAATCGCGACTACGAATTTTTTCCAAACATCGTACTCAGATTGATGACGGCTACGTGTTGTTGTTGTAGCAACAATGTTTTCGCGTCAAAATGACGTAAATCTTACTCGTAGTCTCTGCTAAAGCTTCGTATTAATAACTTGCCTGTTGAAAAGTTCGTGCGCTGAAGTTAAAATCAACAAAATACAGAAATTTTTTCATGAATAAGTAACAAATTTCTGTAATCTAGAAAAACTCACTCATTCACCTATACAAATTGCACTCACCTATACAAATTGAATTAATGTCGGGAAAATCTACATAACATTTTGATAATTTTGATAAACACGTTTGCAAGACGACACTTCGGAAAATATCTCGTGGTGCTAGGCCCCAATTTGTACACGTTGAACTTTATTTCTTGACATCATGCTCAACGTCATCCAATGATTGTTTAAAATTAGTTTACATCAAGATTTTTACAATTCAGCCTTTACAATGGTAAATAATGACTATATACGAAATCAAAATGTCCTACGAGTTACGTTATAAATTGTGATACGATTGTTTTCATGGAGAACACAACTCCGTGCAATTTCAAACTGTTTATTACTGTACTAACTTCCCTTTCTTGTTTTCTTGCGTCTCCTACAGCCAATTTGCTACGAATCAGGTTTTATAAAGACTGCACCCACCAAAAATGGGGAACCGCTCATAGCCTCAGCCAATCTGGGTTTCTTTACACAAACCTGCAAAATATCTTCATTTTGGTCACCTGCTGAACGACCATCTATTGTAATTGGACTTTTGATAAAATCGCAATATTCTACTTCCGACAATAGTTCCCTGCTCATGGGACGGTTACGGTCATTCCTTCCAGCCGTAAAGTATTGAGTAACTGTAAGAAAGTCTTGTTTATTGCGATTACCACATAAATACAATTCTTTGAAACCTTCCAAATTATTTGGGCGTAAACAAAAAATGAGAAGAGCTGGTTTTGTCGCAGTATAGTGTTTTAACGAGTGTTCACAATCATTTGCCATGTAGAAGCCATACTTATGCGACAAGTCACACTTTTCACGACCTTCACCTAATTTAATACCATTCTCAAGAATCTTCTTAGCAGAAGAATGATTAGTACCATGGAAATATAACTCAGTATTTTCGTCTTCGTTTTTCTTCAATTTTTCAATCTCCTTAATGCATCTAATTGCTTCATCTTTGTTACTTGCATTAAAATCTTTACTTCTTGATCAGTTTGGTCCCTTGCTTCATTACGACGTGAAAAATTCTGGGTAAAACAATGGTTTTGGCAGTTTTCATTGTAAGGAAAAAGAGGAAGGGCGTTATTCGTAAATATAGTACACTTAAAAAATTTCTTAATGTAGGTTCCAAGTAAAACTGTTGTTGATTGATCATCAAGATGAGACAGAATAAACGAGAGTATTTTCTCCTTCACTTTTCATGATCTCTTTTCAACCAACTCATTCGACATGTAAAGCAAGCTCACAATATCGTACATATCAGTTCTAACGAAATAACTTCGCTCAGGTCTTTTGGGGCATAGCAGTGATCGTTTGGTTGTATTGTGGTACAGAATTATTCTTTTGTGGATAAATGGAGTAGACGTCTCTCATTATTGATTTTGATAAACAAGGAAGCATTCTAAAGAACATCATAGATACTCTTACAAAAATAACATCAATTAAAAGCATTTCAGAAAATGAATTACATAATTAGAAATATTTCAAATATTTAAAGCGAAAACGTCGATACGTTCACAATGGCTGCAGTTGTAAACGTTTATATATTTGCATAAAAATTCCTTCAAAGCTTGTGAAGGAATCGCTTTTACAGTTTCACGACATTGAATCTAGCGGACAAATTTATATTTTTAGTGGTTTGCATATTATGATACAAACATGACACTTTCAATGCGAAGCTAGTATACAGTTGATTTCATGTTTTATTTTGAGCAACGTTGGCAATCATCGAGCAGATTTGCAAATTTGATCGGGAACTTTCGAGAAACATGAGCACTTTTGAACAAACTTGAAAGTATTACGCGAAAAAGTTGAGATAAATCGAATGTAACATGCTCCAATGCACCACAGTTATGAGGAAGAGATGAACACTTGTGCTATGTGGCAACATCATTGATAATCTAATACCAAAGAATGAATTGTTACTGTCGATAAATTTATAGTGTATGATAAACAGGCTAGAATGTAATTTCTGATCCATATTTAATGACGACTTTGAAAGTTTTAAAACGAAAAATTTTAAAAATTGTTTGTACTCAAGGGAACTTTAAATTCCTTTGTCATTAAAGTGCGCAATAGATTTGTTACAAACAAGGCAAAGAAGCCAATACATACTTCAAAGCTTATCACACGATTGTCACTTAAGCGTGACTTAAATATTATAAAACATGTTTCGATGTTTAAAGTGTTCAGGAAATTGACGTCTCCTGGTTATAACCGGTTTAAATATTTTCATGTTTCACATAAGTACATGTTTGTTCGTCTATGTTTCGACACGGCGCATGAAACCGTTCAAAGAATAGATATTTGAAGCTATTGACGACAGCCCAGCACAGTTTCCTTTGTATGATAAAATTGTCACAATTATACCCAAATGCGTTGAACATAGTTGCATTTACATATAAAGATTTCTTTGGTTTCGATTTTATTGTTGGAACGACAACGTATACTGACGTCGTATTCATCAAAATTTACAAAATTCCATTCTAACGTTAATTCAAACTGTTTACTTACTTTTACAGAAGGATAACAGCTGGTACTTGGCAATTTTTTATATATCTATGAACTGAGGAGCTTCGATGGACGGCGCACTGTCCAGAAAGAAATGACAAGAACGCGTCTCTGTGTCGGTACCAGACCTCTGACGTAGTTTCCCCCCTCTAATTCCTATATTAGCATTGATCACGAGGCAAATATTTGCGGTGATCCCTGAGTACCCCATCAAGTCAAATAAAAATGTTAGTTATAACAATAAAAGGATTGTAAACCAAAATCACATAAAAAAATTATGTCATAGCTACCTCTTTTCCTGAAGCGAAATCAACCGCAAGTTTAAAAATATATGAATCAAAGAAAAGTCGCGTTCATATCACCTGTCAAGGAGATTTTTCTGAAAACGACAGTTATTACTGTCATGTCCTTCGTTATCAGTGACGTTTGTTAAATGGCGGATCTAGAGTACCTCTAAATAAGTTATAGCCCCTAAATTTTAAATTCAAATTATATTCAGAAAAAAACTATTGGTTTTTAATTTCTAAAGAATATAATTTTACGAATGGATTAGCCTTTAAGGTGTTTAGAAATGTAAATATATACAAAAATGTGCTGCAGTAATTTATTTGGACGTAGTCTGGATCCGGCACTGTCTGAGCCAAACGTTTTTTCCTTCGGCAGGGAAAGTTGTTGAAAAAATGTTAAGCTGTGTACCATAGAACATTAAAAATTTCTTTTGGCCAGAGGTAAACACCACGGAGAATTTACTAGAATTTACTAGACTATGCAGTCTTTACAGCGTTCTATAAGGCATATTCTAAAATTGCATATTCTGAGAAACGTTTCACTTCCACAACGTGGAACTTTTCTGATGGGGAAATGTTGACATGGCAACCGTTGTCTAAACATGCTGAAAGTGACTAGTTATCTTCGTGAGACCGGCTTTTGTTACGTAAATTTTAGAAATCGTTCATAAAAGGTCATAGTTATTAGTAAGTTAGAACAATATTGGGCTTTCCATAGTCTATCGAATAGTGCAGGAAATGAAAAAGATATTACGATTGTTACGAGGCATGTATTAATAAAAATCAAAAAGATCATTTACAAAATCAGCACATAAACAAATTTACTTATTATACAAATGTGATAGAGTTTATTCTATCTAATTAGCTATTATTTTAACCACTTTTGACTCCATGGTTTGTGCATTTGCAGAAAGAAAACATTTTGATACATATATAGTCACACTTACAGTTCATCAGGAATTGATGGTAGATTTAAATCACATATTTCAACACTAAAGTCCAAATATAAATTTTCCAGCAAGATATTAAAAAGTTCAGCATAACTGTCAGCGTTTGATTCCATCCCTTGATCTTCTACAAGATTCTCCTGCAGAACGTTTTCTTCGAGGAATTTTTTTCGTCACGTTGCTCATGCTCCAGTCCTTCGTAATGTTCGTCTTTATTTCTATTCTCATCCTCATTTGATTCAGAATTTGAATCTTTATCGTCTTTGTTCATATCTTTATTTTACATATGCTAATGTGACTCGCAAACTTTACCAACAAATGTGGCTTTCGATGAGGATGTGCTCCGTCACAAGCCAGCTACCACTGAATGGTGTTCCAATCCAACGGAGGTTCTTATATAAAGCAGTGCCTTGGAATTGACAACCCTCATAAGTTACTAAAATTTGCACCAATCACATTCATCCAGTCGAATGCTAATTGCTTTTCATCTAAATATCGTTTGGGAAGTCCCTGATTTCTAAATGATGCAAAAAATTGCGCATGAAAAATTCGATGTTTGAAAGTTAAAAAGTTGAATGATTCCGAAAAGTATTTATGTAATTTAATTTTTGTTCATTATTATTTTATTTACTTAAAATCGGAATCGAACTAACGTGATTGAACAGTTATAATAAAATTTACAACTTCCTCATTCCTACGATCCGTTCACAAAACGAAAGTGATTTCCTTTAAACTATTGCTTACATTTGTGTCGAAAGAATAATATGCGATGAATTTGAGAAACACTGGCACTTTTGTAGACGTTGACATAATAATTTTTAAAGCTGTATATTTTTTACTGTTGACACAAAAGACACAAAGAAAAATTTATGCAAATTAATGAAAAAATTCGCCACAACATGGTAACGTGCATTTTTGATCGACCATATATATTAAAGTTGTGTTTACTCATTTTTTTCGCCAACAGTAACAAAACACAAGTTTTATGTCGACGTCACCGAAATACACGACGTTCTATAATTCATTAAATAAAACCCTTCAGATAAACTTGTTTATGCCAGTATTCTGTTGTTGTACCAAAAGTGGTAAAATATTATCATAGTTGTTTCACGTACGTTGGATAAGCAATGTCACCTTACGAGAGCAATTTCTCTCACTGGATGAATAGAACTTAAATAAATGAAGATAATTATGCAGAAGACTTAACAAAACATCCGCATAAACTATTCATTCTTAACATCAAAAAAAAATTTGTTTTATCGTTTGAATGGGATTAGTGAATGTGAGCTGTAGATGTAAGTCAATGTTTTAAAGTTTGAAACACATACCGTAAAGGTTCTTTAGTACCGTAAAAACATACTAAAACTATGAGCAAGTTGTCAGCACCATTTAAGGGCTTAACAATATTTAAGTCGCCATTTTCCATTCTGAAGATAGTTCAAGCAGTTGATTGCATCAAATTTCGAACTAATTTCGAGATTAACTGCGATCGACTCATTTAGTTTGTATTTAATTTACAGTGAATAAAACTTCACCGTATTCAGAACAACTTTGTGTTTCAAAGAAATTGTTTTCCTTTCGAATTTGAGAATGGAGTTCAATGTTAACATTTACATATCGATTCAATGCGTAACCCAGCCTATATTAAGATCAATGTTGAAGAAAACAGAAACTAGTAGAAAACTTTGCTTTGCTTAATGACAACAGAGGTACTTTAATTCGCATATTTTGATGATGTACATCTCGTAGAGTTTGTACATCAAACTCCGGATACCGTTCATGAAAATGTCCTTCTGCTTAATTTTCTATGTCGAGTTTGCTTTTATTTATAATTTTATTGAAATGAATATACTGCAGGATCAGTTTAAAATGATCGGAAAAACGATCCAGCAGGAAAAATGCCGAAATGTATGAAACTTGTTTCATACTATCATTTGACGAAGCGTTGTTGAAATGTATTGTACGGATCGTAAGTAAAGCAAAATATTTTATTACTTAGTGTAAAATAAAATAGATAAGTCATATCTACCTTTTCTTTTAAAGCCAAAGTAGCCACGTAAAGAAATATACAAGAATCAAGTCAACTAGTCACGTCTCCAGTTTGATGCGAAGACGCCTGTTACCCTGTTACCGCTTCTACTACCGCTTATATGACACTCTTTGTAAAATGAAGTTTGGAAAACTGCTCGTCCAATTATTCCTAATTTAATATTTGATGATAAAATTAATGAACATTCAATGATGCATTATGCATAAGGTTTATGCCAGGTGGTATCGAATAAAATATTCCATCGTATTTTATTTTGCATGTGTTTATGCATGGACAACAATGCAAAATCTATATTGTCTTGTTTCTTTTCGCCTTTCAAAGTCAGTTTAGACAACTAAAGACGACATTTTGTTTGAGGAATTAAATATGGGCATCGAGGAGCATTTCCGCCTCCGAAATTTTAGGAAAAATTGCTTTATTAAATCACGATGAAGGTGATATTGTTCAACATCCAGCGGCGTCAAGTCAAAGAACAAACTGAAAGATTGTATCGACTTAAATGGTACGAGATGGTTGATGAAATTTAGTATCATTGCAAAAATCTATCATCGGTTATTAGCGAAAAGCTGACAAGCAAGCCCATTGAAAATAACTGCACTATGTCTCACAAATTTCTCCCATCGTCGACCCAAACAAGATGAAGGATACCGGTTACTTATGCGGAAAGTTTTGTCAACAACATCACGACAAAGAAGACTTTCAAGCTAAAATTTTGTTGCTTTTTGTTAAAGGTAGCGTATCTATATCTATGTAATCTGAAAATAAAGTTATTTAGTTGCATTAGAATGAAGCAAATGCTGATGTTCAATGTGCGATAGGCTTTGTGAAAGATGGCGAAGATGCTTGCATAGACTGCGGTCAAGCATATGTTGTAGTTGTTTCTCACTGCAGCTTTTTGTCGTGTCAAAATACTGGATACTTTTCTATTTAATTTTATCAACAATATTTGTCTGAATCATTTAATACATGGGAACATGAATGCTTCACTGAATTGGACTTTGTGTTTCATGAAATAACTCGATGTTTGTAATAGTTCAATTTCAAAGACTCGTGAAATAAAACAATTTCATTTTGTATGACAGTAATCTACCTTCAGTTATAATCAGGGCAACTAGTCATTTTTCTTGTATTGTCGGATTGCTGTTGATTTGTATTTACAGCAGCCTTCTAAACAGGATGTTTCAAACATTGATAACTTTTGCCATGGTTTTGGAACTACCATTTGGCACATTACACTTTAGTTGTACTGAGCATATGTAAGATTTATGAAGGAAAGTGATGATGCTATGTAATAGGACAACTGCGTGTTAGCAAAAGCCATCTTAACACAAAATTACATAATTATTTGCACATTTAACATCAGTATGTGCTTGTTTCAAATGCACATAAAGAACTTTATATTCATATTTAATGAACGTAGAAACACAGTCCACAACGAAAAGCAACAAATTTTTAGCAAGAAACCTTCCACAATTTCGCGCATTCGCAAAAAATTTTTGCAATATGCAAATCAAACTATAAATTTGAGGTTGCACGATGTTTTCTTAGGTACGTTTGCAATATGCAAACAAGTGAATTAATTTTGATGATAGATGGATACAAGTAAGGTGACACTGATAGCTCTTTCCTTTAGAAAAGACGACCACTTTTCACACGATTACTGTATGTTTACATGAATCCGGAATGAGTCACAACTCGATCGGGATCGAGTTCATTCCTAGTTTCATTCCGGATCGAAATTTAGTTTTAATCTCATATAAACGCGAGCTGAGTTTCATTCTTGAATGACGGCATCTTACGCCGTCAGATAAAAAAACTAGCTAGTACTTACGCAATGGAAATCAAATCCCCGCAATTTTATACAAATTTACTAAGTATAATAATAATAAATCAAAACTTACATTATAGCTTTAGCTAAATGAGGACAAAAAATTCAGCTAAAAGTAAAACGTTTACCTATAACATGTGTTGTGGGACATGTTCTAAATGTAATAAAAAAGTCAAACTTACCTGCTGTCGGGAAATCAAGTTAACCGAAAATAGGAAAAAATAGAAATTGAAAATTGTTTTAATTTGTTGAGTATATCGAGCGAAGTCAAGCAATTACCACTGTTTAGTCACAATTTAAATCCCGCGCACTGTGATCAGAAATCATCTCTATTATATGATTTCGGTCTGTCCGGTTATTACGTCATCCGGTTTAACCAATCAGAATGCGCTGCTAAGAAATGCATTGCTAACGCTGCTAATCAAAATGCGCTCTTTTTCAACTATGTTGAAACTTACATCACAGAATAGTGGCGTGGCGTCGTCGCGTGTCGCGCTATTTTTTCACAATGTTAAAACTCTTGACATTTACGTACAATATTGCTCACACACCCCGCCAGTGCCAACAATAAATACGGCTGAATTGAATTGTAATTGAATTAAAGTCATGAATGTTAGCATTGGCGAGAAGATTAAACGATATATATTCCTGCAACAGCGAGAACCTGAACCAAAATTAGCGCAGTAGGTGACATCGACAAAAATCTGACAACTGTAGTCGTAGGACCTTTGGCCCTGAGACTAAAATGTTC